ATTGAACTTAGCTGTCTGTTCTAAACGAAAACCTCTCAGACATGTTGTTTGAGCATTGTATACGAATTTTAATTCTGCGATATAAATATTATCTTTGGTACCCTAAGGGACTACAAAACAAGTGCATGAAATAGTACTAACGAACAAATGTTGAATCAATTACACATTGAAGACAAAGTAATGTGTTTGAAAACTATTGTTTGATTACATCATCAAGCCTAGGTGTCCTAGGTGTACAATACGCTAAAGAGCTAGTTATGCATTTTGGCGGCGTTGTTTACGCTTCCTTGACTAGAAAACTGAACATGATATCAAAGATGTTTTCTTACTTCCTCGCCGATAATAGTATTACAAAGTAATACCATGTCACTCGTGAAATTAATGATTAAATTTCCCCGATACCTCGGGAAAATTTGTAAAAGTCCCTCGGGCTGCGCCCTTGGGACTTCCACAAATTTTCCCTCGGTTTCGGGGAAATTTAATCACTAATTTCCCTCGTTCCATGGTATTACTTATAATAAACCCTCGTGTTCCGGACAATATGTGGATATGGATATTATGATATTTAGATATTTAGACAATTCTCATAATTTTTGCAAAAGGCTGTACATAAAACTGTTGAGTCGGTTCTTCTTCCTGGACATATCAGTATTGTTTTTTACTCCAAATCTTTACCAGGTACATGTTTCCAGTCGATGTTGAAACAGTCGCTATATACGTTAAGAATAATGGTGGACCAGGAAAGCTGCTAGCAGCGTTTAGTAATGGCGTACAATCCGACGCACACTGGAAATGCACAACTACACGCTACAGGAACTGGGAGAAAACAGACTATGACGATAGTTTCTGGCCAAACGCTGTTGTCCAGGGACCAAATGGTAAAGATGCGAGAGGACTTCCTTCATCGGTGTTATGGATCGGTGTGGCTAATGCTAATGCTCCTGAGTTTTACTGCCGGAGAAGAATGAGTGCCTTGAAGCCTGACCCACCATCATCACCGTCATGTAAGTTGTTTTACTGTCATTTTCATCATAATCAACTTTTGGCAGTAAAGTGTTGCCTAAATCCTCGATATTATAACAATTATCATTGATTGTTATTTATTGTTTATCAATGTCATCATTAATATCACAATCATGGTCACAACTTGTTATTTCAGCCTCCTGTAATGAGCCTCTTGGACTTCAAAATGGTTGGATTGAAAACTCTGCTATCACAGCTTCCTCCAATTGGAACGCACAGCACATGGCTTGGAGGGCGAGGCTAAACATGGTCAAACAAGGTAGTTACATTGGAGGATGGGCYGCACGTGTYAATCATGACAGTCAGTGGATACAGGTAAAACAGGTTTTTACTATATCACGTGACCAAAGTCAAAAGTAAAACATCATGCATCATGTGATTGTCACGTGTTTATTATTTGTTTCTAGGTGGACTTTGGYCGACCTGTGAAAATGACAGCYGTGTCAACTCAAGGACGTCAAGACTCSGATCAGTGGGTAACAAAGTACACRCTGTCATATGGAAGCGATCCAGGAAAACTTACACCCTACCGGGTAAACGGACGCACAAAGGTATCTATAGATACAAATCCTTATCCACGTACATAGGCAATTTATAGATGGATCACGCCTAGTTTTTGGTGTCCCCTTCGGTCTCCGTTCCTTAGCGAAGTCTTTTTTTTTCAAAAGATTTTGAAAAGGACTTCCAATTAAGATTAGATTTAACGCGATATGCTGAGGTTTAATCGGGCACAAGAAATAAAGTACTAAAAACGTTTTATGGTATTTTCCAGGAATTTTCGGGTAACCGTGACAGGAATTCAGTGGTTAAGCATAACCTGGCACCACCGATAGAGGGGCGATTTGTTCGTCTTCACGTTAAGGCGTGGCACAGTCATATTGCAATGMGAATGGAGTTCTATGGCTGTCAGATGGGTGAGTCTCAATACACGTTCATACTTGCGTATTAAAAACGCAAACTCTTACTGCGTGTTAAAAACGAAAGCTCTCACTTGCGTAAAACGCAAGCATTGATACGTACGCTTACTTCTGTAGTTACTTAAAAGCAGCGTCGCACGCAAGTGCACGAGCGTAATAGAAAAAGAAACGATTTGTCTGCTTTGCGCTTGCTTGCGGTTACTGCGTGTGCTTGCACCTGAAGAGAGTATTGACAGTTTTACTTACGAAGACACAAAAGAACGAGTACAAAACAAAGATTATCTCACGTTGCAATTCCATTTCAGTTTGTAAAGTGGATATCGGTATTCTTATGGACGAGTCCGGTAGCGTCAGTTCAGGGGATTGGGAACAAGAGAAGAACTTTGTGAAGCAGCTTCCTGATCACTTCAAGTTTGGTCGTGAAGGAGCGCAGTTTGGCGTRATTTCCTTTAGCACCAATGCCCATATGGACATTCAACTGAACAGTTATTCCAACGCTGCCGCGTTTAAACGTGCAGTCGGTAGCATMAAACAAGCGCGTGAGTATTGTGTGACAATATGTGCATCGTGACAGTAACGCAAAAGACTATTARTGTCACACGGGTTCAATATCAATTGTTTCTGTTATTAGGTGGGTGGACTTACACAACCAAGGCCCTGGATCTAGCTTATACAAATTTATTTAATGCTGGGAAAGGTGCACGGAAAAACGTCGCCAAGGTAACCAATAAAACATTTACCGCATTATCGAAAAATACATGAAAACGTTTTAGTGACTTTCGATTTTGTTTTATTCAAAAAAGCAAAAATATTTACKGTAGATATAAGAAGTTCTTGTTATTCTGTATGGGTAAATAAAGTGAGTACGTACATTGATTTCTAGGTACTTATTGTWATAACCGATGGTAAAACTACAAGTGGAACGCCCAGTTTAACAAGGCCCGTCAAACGTCTTAAGGACGCAGCTGTTAACATCATTTCCATTGGAGTTGGGGACAAAATCAAYATGGATGAATTAAACAAGATGGCTGCGAGCAATAAGCACGTGTTCCTTGTCAAACAAATGCRACAGTTATCAAGTCTAATAACTTCCATCACTGCTTCTTCTTGTTCATGTACGTTGTTTTTATCGTTAGATTTTGTGTGCATGAATCTCTTATTATCCTGCTAAAAGCTGTATTTTTTCACGTGGTTTCGTTTGGCGACAAAAATCACAATGCCCTTATTATGTTATTTTTCAGCATTCACATGCCGGTATGTGACATGTGACTATGGGGCGTGGTCTTCCTGGAGTAAGTCTTGTGGTCAGGGAATGCGACGCGTGCGTACKCTGACCAAAGTCAACGAACACACCATTGAACAGCAAGGCGGCTGCTCGGGCATGAAACAGACTTGTGATGCACAGATGGTAGAGACGAAGAATGATCAGTGTAAGTACAATCAGAAAATGATTGCAAAACCAAAAAATGAACGAGTGGGCAAACCAAAGAAGATAATCTTGGACTGGGAATAACATAATGAATAAATGAACGAATTAGCAAATGAATGATCAAAATGGAACGATGATGAACGCGCAGCAAATATTAACATAGTTTTCTTTCAGGCCCATGTCGATATGTATCATGTTCATGGAATCAATGGGGACCATGGTCTAGTACGTGTGGTAAGATGACCAGACAAAGGACCAGTAAAGTCACGCATCACACAGTAGTACGTCCTAACTGTGGCGGTCTTCAAACCTCTTGTCCAAAACCAGAAGCGCAGAGTATTTACGTCTCTTGTAAGTATGCGCAACATACACACGTAACAGAACACCAAACACGCAAAAAATTTTAGCAAATTTAAGGAAGATCTCAAGAACTGAGGTTTATTTTTACAAAGCCCCTGGCTGTGTCCTACCGCAATCTCAATATTTTCCTCTTTTTCCAGGTTGTAAAGCTGAAATCGGGATATTGTTGGACGAGTCAGGTAGCGTTAAAGCAGAAGATTGGGAACGAGAAAAAGACTTTGTCAATCAATTGGTCAACGGATTCAGAAATTATGGACCCGCCGGGGTCCAGTTTGGTGTTATATCGTACAGTACTRATGCMAATCTTGACATTAAACTTAACCAGTACAGCAAGAAACAAGACTTTATCTCCGCTATTGGAAGGATCAAGCAGTTCCGTGAGTTGCCCTACACTWTAGCTATCGTTAGACTATCCTTTGCCACCGTTTTCATTATCCTGGCTTAATCATTTTGTAATAATCTTCGTTATTATTTTATTTCTCAAAATTCTGTTATCTTGTTATGTCATCGCTATCATTGTCCTAATCATTATCAKAAATTGCTTACTTTTGTGATATACGGCTATTATCATTGTTATCATGTCATAGTGAGTCTATAAACAAAGTGTTTTCTAGGCGGATGGACGTACACCGAGAAAGCCCTTAATCTCGCTCACTCTCATCTGTTTAGAATGGGTGCAAGGCCTGGTGTAACCAAGGTAACAAATGATTGATAGTCTCGGCGAGCAGCCCGTCCTCACCCTTCCCCCATCAGTCATTTACACGCCCATCCCTACTCGCGACAGAAAAATCATGCCATTAAGAGCATACAGATTTATTGTTTSTCGATACCAGGTCCTTCTCGTCCTGACGGATGGTGTGACAACAGGAGGTTCACACAAACTGAAACAACCAATCAAATTGCTGAAAGAAAGTCACGTGAATATCTTTGCAATTGGAGTTGGCAAGAGAATCAATGAAAGGGAACTCAAGATGATGGCATCTGAGCCTGTCAACTCACATGTCTTCTACGTTGATAATATGGAAGAACTACCAAAGCTTCTTCAAACAATAAGCGCATCTTCTTGTCAAAGTAAGAGTTGTGTATTATAGAAACAAGAAATTGCTATGCGCTAACTACAGTAATGTGCTTTATTTTTCAGAATTCAAGTGCAAATATGTGACATGCGACTACAGTGTATGGTCAGCATGGTCAGCGTCGTGTGGTGTGGGCATGCGCCGTACTCGCAAGCTCGTCAAGGTGAACGAGCACATCGTAGAACAGCAGGGAGGGTGCTCTGGGTTGACGACAACGTGTGAACAAAGCAAGACTGAAACCAAGAATATGAACTGTAAGTTTTGATGATGATGATGATGATGATGGTGGTGGTGATAATAACAATAACTATGATCCCCTCGAGGTCCATGTCGTTACGTGTCGTGTTCGTGGTCCTCGTGGTCTGCGTGGACGGCTTCTTGTGGCTCAATGTCAAGACGACGTACAAGCAAAGCAACAAGTCACGTGGTCAATAGACCATCATGCAGCGGGCTTCAAACCACGTGTCCCGCTCCGGAAACTCAACAAAGGACCACTAACTGTGTGTGCAAGTATGTCAAGTGTATATGGAATCCTTGGTCWTCATGGTCAGCGTCCTGCGGTGTTATGATACGCGCAAGATCCATCAAGACCRTACAGTAAGATATGATTGAAATCAAGTTCATCAACCAATTCATATTGATTGACAGGTTAATTTTCCTTATCACTCAAAAGGCAAACTATTAATAAACCCAGCTGCGGTGGATTACAGCAGAGATGCACACAAAGTCCACAATCACAAAGAAAAGAAGTCAAGTGTACTTGTAACTACGTCAAATGCAGCAAGAATCCCTGGACAAACTGGTCAGCATCGTGTGGTAAAGCGACAAGACAGCGAACATGGAAGGTTTGTAGAAGGAATGTAAAAAAAGTATGCAAGAAAAGATCTAGTAATTATTTGAAGAATGATAGCATCTCTAATTTCAATGTCTTTAGACAACTCAAGTAACAGAGCAGCTCCTGAGCTGTGATGGACTACCACAGTCTTGCCCGACACAACCAGAAGTTGAGAGTCGAGAGACAAAGTGTACTTGTAACTATGTGAAATGCAGCAAGAATCCCTGGACAAACTGGTCAGCATCGTGTGGTAAAGCGACCAGACAGAGAAGCTGGAAGGTTGGTGTTTGAGAAAAAAGGATGGTAGGAAAAAGCGAATGGGTTTGGAAGAAAAATTGAAAGAGTAATCTGGGGAATGGATGTTTGTAAGGAATGTTTCCAATTGAATTGTGATTTCGCTACTTTCAGACAACTCAAGTGACAGAACAACTCCTGAGCTGTGACGGACTTCCACAGTCTTGCCCGACACAACCAGAAGTTGAGAGTCGCGAGACAAAGTGTACTTGTAACTATGTGAAATGCAGCAAGAATCCCTGGACAAACTGGTCAGCATCGTGTGGTAAAGCGACCAGACAGCGAACATGGAAGGTTGGTAGATGGAATGTAAAAAACATAGGGAAGAAAAGATCTAGTAATTATTTGAAGAATGATAGCATCTCTAATTTCAATGTCCTCAGACAACTCAAGTAACAGAGCAACTCCTGAGCTGTGATGGACTACCACAGTCTTGTCCAACACAACCAGAAGTTGAGAGTCGCGAGACAAAGTGCACTTGTAACTATGTCAAGTGCAGCAAGAATCCCTGGACAAACTGGTCAGCATCGTGTGGTAAAGCGACCAGACAACGAACATGGAAGGTTTGTAAGTTTGTAGACAAACAAAAAAAGATGGAGGGAGGGTAATAAGATAACATGGAAGTTAGGAAACATGAAATATGAAAGAAACGAACGATGATCAGTGTTGAAACATTGATAATTAATGATTTCAGACAACTCAAGTAACAGAACAACTCCTAAGCTGTGATGGACTACCACAGTCTTGCCCAACACAACCAGAAGTTGAGAGTCGCGAGACAAAGTGTACATGTAACTACGTCAAGTGCAGCAAGAATCCCTGGACAAACTGGTCAGCATCTTGTGGTAAAGCGACAAGACAGCGAACATGGAAGGTTGGTGTTTGAGTAAAAAGGATGATAGGAAAAGGGAATGGGAAAGGAAGAAAAGTCGAAACAAAACTCTGGGGGATGGATGTTTGTAAGGAATAGACGTTTGCCATTAATTTGTGATTTCGCTACTTTCAGACAACTCAAGTAACAGAACAACTCCTGAGCTGTGATGGACTTCCACAGTCTTGCCCAACAAAACCAGAAGTTGAAAGTCGAGAGACAAAGTGCACATGTAACTATGTCAAGTGCAGCAAGAATCCTTGGACAAACTGGTCAGCATCTTGTGGTAAAGCGACGAGACAACGAACATGGAAGGTTAGTAGATGAGGGGAGAGGCCATGAAAGGAAATCAAAGGAAAGGTATCTACAAAGGAGAAAGAAGAAGACAAAGAAGGAAGTTATGATCTAGGCGATAAATGTGTGTTTAAGGAAGTAACGATTATAATTTTCAGACAACTCAAGTAACAGAACAACTCCTAAGCTGTGACGGACTTCCACAGTCTTGCCCAACACAACCAGAAGTTGAAAGTCGAGARACAAAGTGTACWTGTAAGTATGTCAAGTGCGTKCCTGGTGCTTGGGGAGACTGGTCTGGYGACTGTGGTGAAGTCAAGAGAAGAAGAAACATAACCGAAACTCCTGCTACTGTCGATCAAGTTAGCTGTGATGGCTTGCTGCAGAAATGCCCCAACAAATATGAAGAGGAGAAGAAAAAGCTGCCGGATGATTGTAAGTCATCTGTCGTAGGGGCATTTACACTGCGCGATTCAAGTCGTATACTACAAATCGCACGAGACAATCGTGCCGTGTAAATCAGCCTTTAGAGAGGGATTGGGTTTGATCCAAAGGCAGCGAGTCTGCCTCTTAACACCACCCCTGTAATTCTCTGTTTTCATAAAWGCATCGATGTGTTTATATCAACAGGTCAAGAATGCTTCACTGTTAATTGCTATTATAGTCCATGGCAGCCATGGTCAGCAACGTGTGGRAAAGCTACTCGTGTAAGATACCAAATTGCTGAAGAGAAGTTCGTGTTTAGGAAGTCATGTGATAACTTGCCTGTTGAGTGTACAGGGATTTATGAGGACGTTCAGCATCGGGATACACCTGTCTGTAAGTAGTCCCCTCTCTCAGCCGTTACGAGGCTTGTACCCAGGTCTAAAGTAACTAGTAATGTTGACTAAAGGTAACTAAGGGTTGGAAAAGGGGTTGAGAAGTGAAGTGGGAGTTATGAGCACAGAAAGTGTGATTTCGTGGAAGGCAATRATACATTAACGTTACGTCCAGACAAGTGACATTATTGTTTGCAGTAGATGTTAAATTGTAAAAGCATTGAGATTTRTGTTTTTTTTTTCTATTTTCAGGCCCAGTTACACCACCACCACCACCCACAACCAAGCCTTGAGTTTTAAKAAGTGGTCAACATTATACTAGCAGGTTGTTTCAGAAGGGTTAGGATATAAGGGATTCATCACTGTATGTAGATGGTATTGAAAAATAAATGATTCAAATGATTAACGTTAAAAATATCATAATTGTCGCAAGACAATACATGTTAAATTCCAGGAATGTAATTCAAGGATTACCATGTCCAATTGGATAACATTAACTTTCTGGGGGTGACCACTTAAATTCACTTGGTTTTTGATTTGGAGTCTCTATACTGCATCTAACTACACTTATGCAAAAATTTTCATGTTGTTGTTTTTTCTGTTGTTTTTTTTTTTGGAATTTTCAAAATGTTTAGAACATCAATAGAAGATCTTGATCACATGCTACATTCATGCATGCATTAATTTTTTTTATTGATACTATTTTTACAAACAACAGTATTGTATATGATATTAATACTATTGCTATCCAATACATAAAAAATAAAATTAGAATTAATGCTCCCTACCCCTCCCCTGACAATTTTTCCAATGGCACCTTGAAGTTGTACTTAAGCATATTCAATAATTCTTGTTCCTCTGTCAGCTGAGTATTCTGTGTTTGAGGTAATTTGACAGTGGTATACTTGGTAAGAAGAAAGCATCGCTACTTTCTACTTCCATCAGACGAGTTCCATTGAAATTATGGCCTAAAAATAACATAAAAGTTCTTGAGTCATTAGGCAGCAATAGCCGACTTGCGAATTACGCATCAATAGTCACATACAAAGGAATCAAGACGACGCTTTTTTGTGAAAAATCTATTGTCTTTAGTACGGCGCCTCGTCTTGATTCCTTTGTATGTGACTATTGATGCGTAATTCGCAAGTCGGCTATTGAAATCAACTGAAAACAAGAAATATCACACAGAATAATTAGTTATATCATACATGTATAGACGTTTATGGACTTACTTGTACATAATAACTTGAGATACTGGCAAAGAGCGTGGACCATCATCCTGTCCAAACTAGGAAAWCAATAACAGGTTTASCCAGTTTAATCCAGTTTTYTAYAATAAGTTTTGCTGTCTTGTTAAATGCATTACCTGGATGGATGGTTGGATATSATTACTGCATCTKGACAATTGGACAGACACTCCATCAAATCTTTCTCTAGCAGTTCAAGACTGCCCTGAACCAACGAAAATAAACAAATGTTATTCAAACGCATAATGAAAATAGACAAAGATAAGCTTATAGTGTCACATGTTGACATGTAGCTTCCTAATGAAACTGAGCAGTAATTTGTCTAGTAAAACAGGGGTGGCTGCACAAGTAGGCCTTGTAACATAGTAACATTGTAATTGGATTATGTTGTTTGACTGRCTTACCAAGGAAAATTGCTTTTTTCTGAAAGTTCCTCTAATTTTCTTGTCGACATTTAAGTATGACCTTTCTGCTGCAGCATACAGCTCTAACACAARGACAGGAACATCAGCAAACATCACAACAACTACTTGCCTTATGGACACCTCACTACAAGTTATGGACATCTTGATATTGCAGACAGTAAAATACTGAATCCCCAGTGAAAAATACAAAGAAATGACRGAAAGTAACTCTTGTTACTACRGACTCTCACTACTGCGGACACTAAATTACGGTCCYGAGGGTGTTTGTAATAGTGAGAGTTCACTGTATTGTATTACTAACATAAGTTTTTATATAAAAATAATTGATTATATGCTTATGATATGAACTTACCACTATCAGTCTGTAGACGACTGTCTTCTGTTACACATTCACTTGCTGTGCTCTCTTCACAAGAGTTTTGACACCTCAAATAGCTTATCTGATCATCCTCTGGTAGGTTTGCAAAGTCATTCCATATCTTAGGACACAAAGTTGAGACTGGATTAATACATGTAATAATTGTGAATCAAAATAAAAGTGAAATAACGGAAAGGATGAAAGAGCACAATGAGAAAAGATACATTGTAATTTACCTCTAAAATTGCAGTAAGTTTTCTTTCTAATGTTTATTTTATGAAAGTTGAAAAAATGACCAAAAATGAATATATTACAAAATATAGGACTTTACCTTCATTTTCTGAGGGTCGTCAAATAAAGATGAGAAGATTGTCATTGTTGTGCTAACAATGTCTGACAATTCAAGTTCACCAATTTCTTCATGATCAACCAGACTTAACAGGTAACAAGCTATAAGCACAGATTTCTACTAAATATTTTGATGGAGGGCAGTGGAGGGCTAGGATTGATAAGGGAAGCACGGCAGCATATGAATCAATGCAGCTAGCCTCCCCCTCTCCCACACCCATCATCATCTTACTGTTCTCATATCGCCGTCCACTTCTGCTTCCCTTTGGTTTGTGTCCGGGTGTCTTCAAATAGTGCTGYTTGGACTTGTGTTTACGAGGACTGTGCCTGGCAGGCTGTGCAGGCTCAGTCTCTGTAACTTCGTTGACATCTTCATCTACCCATCTACACAAGAAGGTCTCAAGTTCACTATATCTTAGTCTAATGAATTCTATCTAAGCTTTGTATTAAGGTCTCTCACAACATCATATCATCCTTTAAACTCTATACTATGCTAACGTAAGAATATTAAAAGCATTTGCAGTTGGTGAAAATAATAAATATTAAAACCGTACGTTCTACTTATATTSAACAACATTTTTTGGTTGCATTTCTGAGTTGTTTACAAAACCCGAAGGCCACATCAACGATCAAAAAACTACAATATAAGTATCAAAAAAACACCCCAAGTACTCTCTGATATCACTCAATTCTAATTATTGCAGCCTTGAGATTCCAGCAGCATAAATATTGATGGAAAAGAACTTGAGTAGGAGATACTGTAGTGTTCTGGTAGATTTTTAGCTCGCAAAAAACCGCCATAACACAGTTTTGBCTTACGTGTAGTCCTGATTTTCTTCTGTAATTCGTCGCCGATGCTTCAAGTGATCGCTGATGTTTAAAACCCCCATAGTTAAAGGCAGTTGTAGCGTAATTTAGGCCTCTATCTTTTAGTGTAGAAGTGATTTATAAAGCCAAATGCAAAACAGAAGGAAGCAAACACGAAAGCCAAGATGGCGGCAGTATGACAAACTGTGATGCAATCTCGAWGCTGATTGGTTGATACTGAAAACCTTTGTTTATAAGGATTCCAAGGGACTTCAAGAAGACTTCAAGAGAAAAATAAACAAAAAAACAATACATCTCCTTTGTTGCGGGAATTTCGTATTTTATTTTTAACATTGAAATGACATCAATTTAGTATGAGGCAGATATTTTAGAATTCAATAGAAGTGAATCCAGATTAATGGCATAAAGTCAAAGTTGAAAGAAGTTCATGTATGTATGCATATTAATATCTATCATATCTACCTTCCATAACAAGATATTAATATCATTGCTAATCAAAAAACATATTCCCGAATGGAAATTTGTCTCTTTTTAATATTCTGGATCATCCTCGGGAACCCAGGTGTAATCTTCTGTCGTTCGTTCCTCATTCCCAAACAACTATTTTTTCTGGGAGTGAGGAACGAACGACAGAAGATTAYCCCTGGGTTCCCGAGGATGATTCTGGATGTATTTTGACAAGCGGCCGCAATTTATTATACACTGGTTACTGGCAACAGGATAACAAGTACCTAATATCAGTGCTATCAGTATAAATTCACAATAAAAGAAATACAAAAGAGTCAATTACTGACATGTTAATGCCAGTTATGTATAATTTATTATTAATGAAATAAAAATTTAACAAAAGTAACATATTTTTTAATTATTATAACGTTTTATGGTCTTTAGATATTGTGAAGGCAATGGACAAAAAATACCTTCAATCCATGTATGTACCTTACATGTAACATCTGAAAGTATTTTAGAACTGTGGCTCAGGCTGACAACCAAATGATATTTATCATAGAACKGTCARAGCAATCTGTGATTGCTTTATGCAATCTCCAGTACATCAGAAGGTTAATGACTTTATTTGTTCTTTTTTACAGTATTTGCCTTAGAAAAATGCCTARTTTTGCTCCTGAGAGTGATAAACATTACATCAAATTAACTCAATTATTAAAAAACTGAGAGGYATTTGTTGTTCTTGCTTAACTAAACTTGTAACTTAGTACAATAATTGCAGATTTGCTGTCAATGTTATGCTGCCCCAATCATTTATRAATARCCTGCGTAGCTGGCCCTTTTAAGKGGCCTGGGCCAGCTACGCAGGCTATTTATGAAAGGCTTTTTTATATTTTTTACACTTGGATTATGAAGCAGAGTTTGAAAGGTAGTTAGCACTTGTAGTTGTAAATCTTGCTTACATGTAATTCAACATTCTTGATTCTCTTTGCACGAGTCATTTATTGTATTTCCTTGTTTTATGATGCTAAAAAACAAAAACAAAGTTAATTCAAGAAGATTGTTGTCGTCATTTGCATTCACTACACAAGCAGACTAGATAAAATTCAAGACATGTTATAAGAGATAGACAGCGATCAACCAAAACATTCATATTTAGTTTGAATCAAAAGCCTTTAGTTGATAGGCATTCAATCTATCACTAGTTGTAAGTTTTCTCTGGTGGTATATCAGTKCAAATGACGGTAATATTGTATGATAGATTAGTAAGCTCATTTGTCCTTTTGTTACTTACAATAAATTATATTTTACAAATCTTACCTGTAAAAGGATCTTCTGAACCAAAGGGGTCCCCACCAAAGGGGTCCTTGCCTGACACYTTCTTTTGGATAGTTGGAGTTTTATTAGAGTCTTCACTTGTGGGTTTAAATGGATCAGAAGCAAAAAAATTATCATTTGAAGTCTGAAATAAAAAAAACATAAGATTATTTAACAGTCATATCATTCTTTATTATAATTATACCTCCTATTTGGAATTCCAGCCATCGTACACTTACTAAAAGCTACACTATATTCAGGTATTATCTTGTGGTAAATTACCTTAGATGGTGGGAAAGCACCTTGGAAAGGATCCCCAAAAGGATCCGTCTTTGACGAAAGGCCTGTAAAATTAATGCATTAAATGAATTGTGGAAAGCATGAACCATTGAATTAATCTTTCGTATGTCCATATGACAGATCACTTTATTGACTGATTCATTCATTCAATCATAAATTCAATCATTACTCATAATATTAGTGTTCATTCTTTAACCATTCATCATTTATTTTTTCATTTAAGACTAAGTTTATTTTGTACTCATTTCATTCTTTCATTAATCATTGATTTATTCATTCTGCTCACAAACCTGTGCCTCCATTGGACGTTGAATCTGCTTTAAAAGGATCATTTTTAAACAAATCATCCTCTCCCTGAGAGTAAAAAAAAGATAAATAATAAATTATGTAAGGTGGTGATTTTCACTAAACATAATGAAATGCATAATATATGTACACATGCATGACAATAGAGCAAGGATATGACAAGAAACTTAGATGAATTATCAATGACTTACAGCAAAGGGATCAGATGCCGCAAAGGGATCTGCAAAGGAGACGCTCTTGTAGTGAAATGGATCWGACTTAAAGGGATCATCAGAATGGAAAGGATCACTTCCATCTGTAAGAAACACATTGATAAAATAAATAAAATGTATGTGTTAATAATGTAAAGCTTTAGAATTTCTTTGTACGCAGGCATAATTACTAAAAATAAATGAATCCTCTGCGTTTACTAGTGATATTTTTAATACCGAGCTTTCGGCCTAAGCGGCCATTCTATTATCAATACACTATATCAGCAGATTGACTATGAAACCCTGTACCTGTTTCTGTTGAACTAAAGATGTTTTCTTTACTTTTGAAAGGATCTCCGTCCTATAAACAAGTGTAATTGAGTAAATCAATTCATCAGTGTTTCAGATAAATAATCTAAAATTTCTGTCATACCTTGAAATCATCACCTGCTTCCTTTTCCTGAAGAAAATTCAATCAATCAATCAATCAATCAATCAATCAATCAATCAATCAATTAATCAGTTGATCAATCAATCAATAAATCAAGTCAGTTATATGCATTGTATTTCTTTTCTCTCAGCTTGTTTTGTTTGATATCATAATAACTTACTTTGAAATCATCATCCACTGTTTCATCAACCCTTCCAGAGCCAACGCTAAATCCACTAAGACTGCTGACAGGACTGCTACCGGCCTGCAGACACACAAAATATATGTTTAACATAACATTTTATTAAAAAGGCTTAAAACAGCTGCAAATAGCATGAAATTCAAGTATCCCAGAGGTTTTAGGTTTTATACTGATTTTAAGGGGTTTTGAAGTGCCCTTTGAGAAAAGTTTTCAATTCCAGGGCATTTTTGGATTTCAAGGAGTAACAAGGAACTCTGTTGTTAACTCTTGAAACTTACTGTTGCTCTGACACTCATGGCATCTGTTTCYGATGGTGTTGGTGTCATATCGAAGGGTGCATCAGTTAAAGAAGAAAAGTCATTCATGAGTGAATTAGATGARGCAGTACTGTTATTCATCAGTGAATTGTAGTGAGCTATTTGGGATTGAAGACTGGTGTTTGTTTCTTTTAGTGTACTCAGCTTGGAGCGAGCCTGCAACARACAGACAAGAAAAACAAATTTAATCAAAGAAGCACTTACTATAAGAGCAATATTAACGACGAAGGATTAACATCCGAAACGTCAGTAAGTTATTTCCCATACTTTTTTACGGTGTTAAACTTATCTTCTTTACACAAATATTGTAAACAGATAGTTATGATTCGTCATAGCATTATAAAAGTTAGTAATACTGTACCTTTGATATTTCGCCTTGCACAGATTTACACTGTTTCTGAACAGTTTCTAAATATTCTTTACTTGATTGAATCTTGAAAATAGAGATAAATAGGATTTTTTTAATAACAGAAATATGGGCATGACTTATGTAATGTCAGTAACACGTTGACACAACTTTAACAGGTCACTTACTTCTTTTTCTAGTTTTGATTCTTCTTCACGCAGTTTATTCAGCTCAGTCTTGGCATCTCCAAGTTCTTCCTCTTGAACCTAAGACACAGGATTTAGATTCCTAATTATTGAGGGAATGCTTGATTGTTTTTAAAAAGTGAGTTGTATTGAGCTATCTCAGTTCTATTGAACTGAAGACTAGTGTTTGTTTGTTTTAGAGTACCTGATTGGTCAAATAAAACAGCTTCTTTGATTCRTTAAGAAGAAACAAAGCYGACTCAAGATTTTCSACACTGATATGACATTTTCAAATAWAGCTGTTTGGAAAAGGTGTTTGTACTTACAAGACTAGATTTTTGTTTCCCTTGTATTTGTAACTGCAACTCTGATATCTAAACAAGAAACACAAAGTTATGAATTTTTATTATTGATTTACARTCAGACTTCCATCAAAGCAGCTATTAATCTGACAAACTAAGATTTTATTAAAGATAATTTTACTAAAGTCAACAGTGTCAACAAAACTCACTATTTTAGTTTGYTCTTGACATTTTTGTTTGATGTCTGCAAGCTTGTCATCAAATTTAGCTTTCTGTTGTCACAGAAAATCAATAACAYAATCATAACATAACATGATAAAAAAGATGGATGTTGAAGGWAATKTTTTAATCAACGAATCCAAAACCAACCTCTTTATCTAATTCATCTAATTGTTTTTGAGCTTCTTCTTTCTGTCTTTTTAATTCTTGAACACTAAGTCTTTTCTTTTCTAAATCTGCTTGTAAGTTCTGTGACAAAAAAATAATAGTCAAGCAAATCAACCATATAATATTTAAGAAATAATATGAATAGAATCACCTGTATTTCAGTATTTCTTTGGCGAATTGACTCTTCAGTCTCACTAATATCTTGCTGTAAGCTCATTTTTTCTCTGGTGTGACAAAACGATTAAAAAATTCAATAAATGAATAAATAAACCATTTAAGAACTATGGTGCTCACCGTCCAAGCTCTTCAATGTCTTTAGTTATTTTATCAAGTTCTTTGATCGCCGTAAAGTCACCAAGTGATGATGCAACACTTAACGTTCCGCTATCCTGAAAAAACATCATGTGAAGTCAGGAAAAGATGTAAAAGTACCTTTTCTTCATCATTTACTAATAGAGCGGATTTCGCATGAGTGGGACACCGTTACCACACGGTTACCGCACAGTTACCGCACCTGGCCTGCACAATTTTGGTGAATCAATGGGGCACTAGAATTTTGGTTACAGTACGATTACGGTCACAGTACAGTACCGTCCGTTTCCCACTCATACGAAATCCGCTCTAATGTTCATCTAGTCTTTAATGTAATATAACCTTATCTTCTGTATTAGGAGTTAGTGTTCCTCTCATTGATGGTGGAATCATCTCAGGAGTCAGCGCGTGTGGTACATCAACTCCTTTGACTTTCTGTTGTACTAAGTACATGGCGAGTATAAACTGTTCTGCATTGAGAGTGCCACTGTTATTGATATCACAWAGTCCCCTGGACAACAAGAAATCAAGACTTAGAATAGTCTGTACATAAAAACTTCCCATCCTACCCCCTGAAGGGGAAAATTGTCCCTGATTTCCACCCACAGGCGGAGAGGTGGGGATCGACTGTACAGGTTACACTTTACTATTGAAAATGATAATCATGGAAGTTACAAACACACAGATAATGATGGTTAGAAAATAGATCATTAATCATCTATTCCAAATAATAATATAGTACCAAATATGAGCTAAGACAGGCTGTGGTAGGCCAGACTGCATGAAAACATCTTTTACTTGCTCACCTGAACAATAAACAATAAAAAAATGGTTGGATAAGGATGAAAGACATCCATAAACAAMCACTTCAAGCTTTACAAACAAGGGTTTGGTCCCAAGCATTTAGRAAAAGGCCAAGGAAAAAGCTTCTGAATCAATAGGCTTCAATAGAGAGAGGTTGAGAGAGATTAAGGTTTGTGTCCTAGCAAAATCACTTCACCTACCAGATACAAGACCATCCCCATCTTTATCAACATTTATAAACATTCCCTCAAACTTCAGTTTCTCAGAAGGTGACACTACCCAGGTATCCTTRCTGACCTAGTGAAGAGACAACCGATGAACATGAAAAAAGACGCTGCATTCCAATGACATATATAAATAATGCTCTTGCATACGTCATGGGAATACACAGGAATCCCAATTCTATTACATGTACTACAACAGTTAAAGTAAAGGTTTATGTACTTACAGACTGGCCTAAAGAGACTGGGGATGTCCCAGATAGTGGTATCTTGAGTGAAGGYGACTGAGGTGCAGATGATGGATTTTGAAGAGTTCTTTTTGATGGAGGCAACAGACGAGGAGGAATTGATAATGGAACAATCTCACCTTCTAATGCTTTATAAACTAAGTGCATTGCCTATACAAAGAGATCATTTTAATTATTTTTATTTAAAAATGTTTAATAATCAATCTCGATCTAAAGTGAATGATATCTAGTACCAATCTTAGAACTGGTTGTACGTTCAAATGAACTTGTCTCAAAACTTACTACAGCAAATTCATCTGCATCTARCATTCCATCTCTGTCGATGTCTGATAGATCCCAAACACGACCAAGTACATCGAGTGGTAGTTTGGAATTCAATAGAACCTACAACATGATAATCAATAATAATGGCAAGTAAGACTGTGAACTAAGTCTAAGTAAAAGAGTGTATATGCATGTGTACTCCATTAGGAGACCAATAATGAATGGAGTAACCTTTCAGCACTTTGTGGATGTGTGCTTTTAAATACATAATCCCCATTAAGAAGGACCTCAAGGCCGAGGGTACCATTTCAACCAAGTGGATTAAAAGATGATGATTTATACTTACAGGTTTTACTTTATCTCCAGGTAAATATCCATTAACTGGTTTGAGATTCTGTAAATATTTACATACTTTGCTATTAAATAAGCTGGATAAAATTCAGATACAGCCCAAAAGCAATAGTATTTGGTAGCAGCATTGCACAATATACCTAGAGGCGAGAGGGCAAGGGGTTCCTAACCCCAAATACAATTGTATTTCTGAAGATGCTCAAACTTTAGCACAAGACAAAGATCTTTTACACTTAAAAAATATCTGCTCACACAAGTTAATTTTATTTTGATTGGAAAAACTGAAATGTTCTCTTTATATTGTTCTCAAGATTTTATAGAAGTATTTTTTGTATATTTGAAAGTTTTCTTATTTTTCAGCCCTGTCCAATGTGAACGTATTTTCATTCTTACCTCAAATATTCCATCATATTTTAATTTCTCTGATGGTTTCACTAGCCACGAGGTTGTATCCATTGGTGATTTCACTAGAGGTGAAGGGATATCTCCCTGTAAATGTCAGTAAAAGAAATATCAATTTTATGAATTATTATGAACTCAATGAATGAAGTAAGATTGCTGTAATGAATCACAGTTCTACAATAAACTTACCAAATTAGGAGCAGGAACTAGTAAAGATAGATTTGACAGTGAAACTTCTTTGCCATTTTGGGCCAGGGCAATCAAACGCAAAGCAAGAAAGAAACGCTGAAATTGATTTGAATTAAGATGAGATATTAATAGAGTGGCTCACTGAGTGCAGAAAATCTATCTATTGATATTAATTATATAAACATTGAATTGACAAATAAATAAACAAATTAATCACTTCATCAATCAATCAATCAATCCAATCAATCAATCCAATGAACCTGTCAATCAATCAATCAATAAAGCAATCAATCAATCAATCAACCAACCAATCAATTAGTCCAATGAACCATCAATCAATCAATCAATCAATCAATCAACCAATCCATTAATCTATCAAAAAACTATTCATTTGATCATAACATTATTCATACCAACATTAATCAATCCATTTTAAGACTTTTGGCAAATAATATCATTCAAAGTGACATGATCCCCAATAGTTAATCCTTACATGTTTATCAAGATATCCTGTCCCTGTTTGGTCACACAACTCCCAGATCTGAACAAAAAATAAATAAATATAGCATCTTAGATCAGTATTTTTCAAAAACAACCTTGGAGTTTATGAAATACTTGCTATTAAAATTAAACACCTGCTGTACAACCAATGAGACTCAGCTTTTAAAATGATATACTTGTACACTCTTCATTATTACAGTCCTTCTATTAAGCCAGCTTAAGCTACTTGGGTTAGGATTTAAACTCTTCTTTGACCATTAAGGCAAAAATGTAGGAAACAATTAATTTTATATGAAGATAAAACCATTAAAGAAAGAAGAGCAAATATATATAAAAAAAGACAGCAGAACAAGAAGTACAAAAGACATTTAGTATGTTGAACAAGCATTGACATGAGTTAAACAATAAATGAATAAAAAAGGGGACTATAAATTAACTTTAATATATACAATTTGTGGCATTGGAAACAACAAAAACAACAGCAAAATAAACACAAAAGTTTACAAAGGTAAAAAAGTATGTCTGAAAATCACAAATAAACCACTTCCCTGCCAAGAAATATTTCACAAAATATAAGCAACTCTGTTACCATAAGATGCTTAACTTATACTTAAAACATAWCAAAGAATGATAAATAAGTAATAAATTATGTAGAAATAGCCATAGTTACTATATGTATAATTTGWTGGCTTTCTTGGAAGTCRTGGTTTTGYGATTTGCATTGTATTTTCATAATAGCTTAATTTGCAATTTTTACCTTATGTAAAATCCCTTCTTTTAAATTTGATCTTTTTAAAAATGCTGCTGCATCTACAGCTGCTATCGTGCTTGTCAATTTAGTGTCAGCCTAGAAAAGAAATACATTTTTAATAGATTGAGAATGGACGTAATCCACATGCCACGATATTCTGAAATACCAATTTTAATATTTTTTTTCATGTCAACTATTAATTTTTATAATATGGTGATAAAGTATACTTCAATGGAATATAAAAAGAGCAATTATTAGTTTCATTTAGTTATTCAAAGGCTGAAAGCTATCATGTTGATATTTCACAGTGTGTGTGCAGATGAAATTTGATATTCTCAATGCAAAAGTCCTAGGTTTAGCTATAGACTTGATAGACAAAAATAAAACCTACAGTAATTATATTTACCTGTCGGAAGTAAGCTTCGTATACAGATGAATGTCCAGCCGATAGCTAAGTAAATAAACAGAATCAATGAAAATCCATAAGGCACGGGATCTCCTAATAAAAAGAACATGAAATACTTTGCAAAACTTTGTTTTTAGTTTGCTCAATGCCAAGTCTTTACAAWATCTTTCAAAATTTAAACAATTGTTTTTCTTTGCTTACATGCTGCGCTTAGTTTTACAAGTCCACTACGGCTGGAACATGCMTCATTTCATTTCGCATCCCCAATCAACTTAAAATATTAAAAGTTAGGTGTTGATAGATGATAATATTCATTTGAATTACTGCTTCCTGGACGTGATCCTCACAAAAACAGCCTTCCGGAGTTAGGTTGTGTTTTTTTGCTTGCGAATCGACGCATGCAATGTAAATTGTCAACTCGTTGTTGTTGTGAATCAATGCAAATTGTCTTTATAATCTTCGATAACAATCTTTGAGTGGTATAAAATATTCACATTGTAAGCTGTTATTTTTCAAGTCGTTTGAATTCTGTAATTAACGGTGTAGCCAACAAAGGCTTTCTTAGCCAGACAGGTTTAATACAAACGTCAACGAACACATTAAAAACAACAGCAGRTCCAACATTTCACAATGCCTAACATTTGCGGGCCTATGAARGGCGATCCTTCGCWAAATCCATACAATAAACACGCTCACTACCTGGAATAGGTGCTTATTCATCACGCTGAATAAAGCTCTAATTAGTTTATGCGTTATTAAAGCAATCAAAGMCTATACCTGGTTCATTGATGGTATTCCAGGCCCGGCAGCCATGTTTACCTCCCCGGGATCGCTGGCTCGATACTTACAGCGTTATGCTATGGCATAACATGCGCAAAGTTATTCGCTTCCAGGCTATCATTGTTAACACGGCCAATATGGCGACAGGATCGAAGATTGAACTTTTTAGGGTAAGAATGTTTGTTTTCTTTAAGAAAATAGCATGTAAAGCTATGCGTGGCTATGGTCTTTCATCTTGATATATGACKGYGAAATTTAATGAGAGAAATTTGCAAAAAWYTCAATATTTTCCGAGCTATTTGGCSTTGTTCTTCATCTRAAGGGAAATAGCTAGGGTAGSGAACAATTTGACGTATGATTAAGCTTAAAGGATTCTGTTTTCCCTTTCAGATAGCTGTATATGTTTTCTTTCCAGTAGCAGTATTTTACTACTTCAATCTACCGGAAATATATGATGATTTTATTTCTAATAAAAAGGTATACATTCATATATTTTTATAGGTAATCTATTATCATATCCTGCAGGATGGCTAACATTACAATTAATGGTTTTTTTTTCAAGCAACAAGTTTATCCACCAGATGAAGAGACGTCTGTAAGTATCTCTTGGGCTACCTGTGTATTTATATTTTCCGTGTAGCTTTGTCCTTTAGGGGACCCCTCAAGGGGAATTACTTGACTTCTCTTTATCTATCCATCTTTCCCTCTCTTTTGTCTTTACTTTGCTTATTCTGACATTGTATTTTCCATCTGTTGCCAGAAACCTCCAACAACAATAGAAGATCTTAAAGCTGCCAGGGAAATTATGCTTGAAAGAAAAAGAAAACAAAAGTCTGAAAGCTAATGCATATGGTATAATTGTAATATGGGGGAAAAAACAAGAATTTTCTTTTAGGTTCTCTGAAACTATCACCTTATAATATTGAATGTGTAAATAGATATTTACATGCGCAAGTATATTTTTTTTATTCTTAATTTTCTGTGAACACTTTCTTGTTGACTGCTGGTACTGATGCCTTACTGCTACTTCAAGATTTGTAAAAATAATGTAATTTATTGCTCTGATTCACTAATTTGTAAATATTGTATAACACACCAGTGATCCTACCCAAGGATGCATTGCTAGTATATTCGTGAATATCTTTCATAGTTAAATTTCAAGTGATTGTTACCCATAGTACACAATTAAATCACAAAGAAAATTCTTTTATTATCTTTGATATTGAAATATTTATTCTGCTATGAAATGTATGGATTCTTAAATATAATAATTTTTGTGATTTTAGTATATGTATTGAAGGTCTAAATATTTCACCCTTATGACATTTTTGGTAATCAACATTTGATTAATTCCTAAAGACTCTTTATGGTTATGGTATTTCAATATAATGAAAGAGTAGAAGAAAATAGAGWTGAGGAATAGAGATATCTGTAGAGGATGCTATATGCCATCATGTTCTTTATTATTGAACTAAAGGTTTCTTTTCACTTGTCTTGTTGTCGTCTTCATCTTCGTCTGGYACTGATGTGTAKACTGCTTGGTYATTGGTCTTGGCAAAGAGCTTTAATATGTTTACAGCCTGAACAATAACAAATTCAYCATTATCATCATCATTAGAGTGMATGCTACATAATTGTGAAACAATYCTTAACTAATTAGWGYCTAATAAGATTTAGTTATCAACTAACTAMGAATTCTKTGAGGCATAAACAAAGACAATTTCATTTCTGGCATTGAGTTTATACCCCAGTAAATTCTTAGTTGATAACTAAAGATTATTAGTTATTGTTAAGAATTGTTTCACATTTTTGTGGTGTGCACTCTATCATCATAGCTATGTCTCCACTGTAGTATATTAATGTAATCTAATGTAATTATTATTAGTAAATGATAAATTGTAATTATTTTTAAGGGCTAATCATTATATTGATTTGATGGTCACTAATGATTGGTGGTAAACTCCCCACCCCTCCCCTCCCAAGGGTCCTAAACTTACCACAATCCTAGCCACAATAGTACCCAGTATTACTCCACCTATTATGTCTGTCCAATGATGGTAATAGCGACTGATCCTTGACAGTCCAGTAGCTATCGCCAGTATCACCAATGCACCCTGCAGTGTTAGTCTTAGTATTTTGTTGTGTCTTAGACAACTTAGACACTGGATGCACATCTGAAAAATATTGTGTTTGCACAGTGAATCTACATGGTTACAMCAAACGGTACAGGRATTTAGGTTGCAAAGAAATGTTTTCATAATGATTTTATTTCATGCACATTTTAGARATTTTATTTTCRCTTACTGCAACAAACACCAAACTGTAGGCTGACGCAGCTGTGTGGATGGCGGGAAATGACAGCCTATTTAAAGATAATAACATATTTTAAAATACTCATKCTTACTTTCATTCTTTCAATAGCATTACTTTGATTAGCTTARGAGAAAGGGGGAGGCGGTAAAAGGGGTTAGACTCCTCACCAGACAACCCTTTTTCCTTCTTTGGGCTGCCTTTGTAATGGTCATATACACAGAAAATAGAAAGGAAACCTATATAAGGGTCCTCCTTACCCTCCAATAGCTACATGTGATCAARATGGCGYCTTTRCAYTTTTAAAAAGATATTTGTAATATAATTGCAAAAATGTAATGAACTGTGCAGCTATTACTGGAAAAAATTGCGCACTTTAAAGGTTGTAAATTTGATGTAAATATGATGAAAGTGTCCAAAATGATGTAAATTTGATATACGCGCACCTTAAACGTGCGAGATTTTTTCCAGTGTATTGTATACCAAGATATTAGTAACGATGATGATAATGATGATGATAGGGATAATCAAATGATCATTATGCGCTACCATCCATACCTAGCGCGTTTGACTAGCAATGGATCCCCTGTACATACATCAGCGGTGATATAACCATCACTACAGTTATACAGCGTGTTATTAGGTTTACACACAGCAAGGAAGTGGGGTCTTAGACGACCAATCATTATTGCTACCACTTGACAAATGAGTAGCATCACTGCCAGGCCTGATCCAAACACACCCATACGATGAAGCATTCTAGAATACATAATCAAAAGAATGATAAAAATAAATAATAATATGTAACCTTTAATGTGTGCATCAACTTTTTAATCCAATTTTGCGCGATAAATCTTAAGATTGCTTTTAAGCACCATATTCTAAAAATCTCTGCATATTAAATGTTCTTTGAACTTTTTGTATTATATTTAACAAAGCAAATATAGCAAAAACAAAAGAAAAAAAATAAAAGCCACTTTTCACATACCCGTCATATATTATGTAAATGAAAGGGCATACATCATGGTTGTGTCAACAATGTCGAATATCACAAAATATATCGCCAACACTATGCGATGTTGCTATGTTCCTTGCGTTCTAAATTGTATATTTAATTTCCTGTCTGTGTTTGAATTGTCTTAGTTTTTCGCGTTTTTCATCATGAATATATATAAACTAATTCATTCATGAGTGTCAAGTTTGTTTACTTAAGTAGGCCATTAAGACACGTATATTTTCACGTTTGCCGCGCGCTGAATTTTTTTTTGGGGAAGTGAAAACTAAAATATCAAGTAAAATCTAATCTAATGTATCATTTTTTCATTTCTTCTGTCATTTGTTTTTAATATACTTACCTTATGAAACATGATGGGATTGTTAAGACTTTCCCTGATTTTCTGTCTTCGTTAGAAGTGCCTCCATTTTCGCGTTTTTTGAAGTASAATTCTAATTCAATCCCAAAAATCTGAAAAGGGCAGTTYAGAGAAATGTGGTTTATCAAAACAGTTTCTCAAAATAAATCTGTTATATTAGGTTTTTGTCATAGTATCATTTATTGTTGTTATCGTAACAGTTTCAATGATCAAATATCTAAAATTTTAATAAAGTCATTCATGATTTTCTAACTTTTCAAAGGCAAAATTAAAGACTAAATTTAAAACAATTGCAATATCTTATACTACACAGTTTTTTAGCAGCAAACATTTCATCATTTTATATTATTGTTTTTTTGGTAATGATAATAACATTGACTGTGCTTTTGCTTTCGTTACAGTTAATTGGGTATATCTCCCTATCTACATCTCTTTCGATCTTATCTGATCTTTTGGTTTGATTWAAGTTAACATTCAATTAAGATAATCTCACCGCAGCGATGGAAAGTAWAGTTCCAGCGGTCAATATCCCCACAAATGACAATCTCTCCGTTTTATAAGGTTTCATGATATCGTGATCATTGCAGAAAAAGCCACGATGAAACGGCTTGAAGCCCCCGACTTGTAAAAATGTCTTATAATAGACAACAGCATCTAGAATAATGATACCGAAGAAAAATAAAGTTTCGATAGTAATGCATAAAATGCTGGTTGAGTAAGYCATCTTTTGAGCTCTAGTTTGCTACAGAGCCCTGCTGACGCGCGGTTTGATCACAATATAAGTTATACCAACTTAATTTGAATTGCTAAACTCGGGTAAATCACGTCATTGGTCTGCGTGACTTACTTGTCATTTAGAATGGTTATTAACCCGTGAAACAGATTACACTAACTGAGCACGTTGCCGAGTGCACTAAAACCGTGAAATATATGAAACGAGGATAAGATATCGTTATTGTCGTTGATACAAAAATCTTGTGTGTTAGTTATACTCCCTCCCCTCCCATATTATTCTGAATGGAGGTCGGCTTGGAAAAAAAAGGGAAAAAAATAATATCAATAATATAGAATTTTACTTTATTGACGCGTGTCACAGTTGCCCATTTTAGTTCAGAACTATATAAAAATGTATATATTTTTACAAGTATTTTCTTCGTTTTCAATATGTGCGTCTTCTTTTTGTTTTCAATATTGTGCGTCACAGCGACCATTTTGAAGTTCAACAAAGGATTTCTTATTCGCTGTTTATTGTTCATTCCTTCAACATGGACGCCGATCGCCTTTTTTGTTCTGAATCTCATTGGAATGATTGAAAACAATCAATTATGATGATTRTGATATTATCGATATTTTATATCTTATTCTATTTATTTATTTTTTTGTTCGTTATACTGATTATCCTGTTGAGAGTGGGGCTGAAGGTACTCTTCTGTAATCATCGTTCACCACTTCGCGGCTTGTATGAAATAACCTCATAACTTGAAAGACCTGGAAAAATTGTGATATCAGTTCGTATRGGGTAAGCAGAGTTAAATCATTTCAATGCAATAATAATCATCAGCAACTGTTGTCATGTTGGACAGTAGCGCGGAAGAGGAAGGGACTCACAAAGCAAACGCACGGACATGAAGYATKTATGGAAACGGTTGGAGAAGCAAAATATCACAAAAAGTCAACTCACCACAAGCCAGGCAGCAAAGCTCCCTACCAGTCCCCCCACCAGMACATCGGTMACGTGATGTGCATTATTGGTAATGCGTGAAATGCCTGCATAACAGGCAAGAAGAAGGACACCACTTTGAACAATCATCCTGAAGATTTTRTATTTCCGCAAATACACCAACGCTTGAATGGCAAGCTACAAAAATAGAATATTCCTTTATTACGTTATCTATAATGACTATTGCTATCAAGACACAGTGTCAGCGAAGAGAAAGAAACGTACCGTAATAAAAACTGCAAARTAGAACGCTAGTGCGGCATGACCAGAAGGCATTGATGATCTGAAACAAATACAAATTAGTTGGAACTAAAAAACAGTCTCGAGCCAGTCGATTAGAAGTGCGAGCGACGGAATCCGGCAGTCTCCAACACAACATACGATGGAAYCTCACACTTCCACAACTCCTCCATTCTATTCATACCTCGCGCGTTTGACTAGCAATGGATCCCCTGTACATACATCAGCGGGGTGATATAACCATCACTACAGTTATACAGCGTGTTATTAGGTTTACACACAGCAAGGAAATGGGGTCTTAGACGACCAGTTAGGACTTTGCAAGTGATGAAGAATATTATCATCAGGACGAGGCCAGTGCTGAATATACACATCCTATGCAGCAACCTACGAAGTGTCAAGAAATGTGTTAGTTATTCAATTCTACATCCAACTTTAAAGAATCAACAAAAATTAGCACACCAAGCCTGGACCAACCAATCCACCAACATACAGCCAACCAATTAACCAACCAACCAACGAACCAAACAACCAAGCAACCAAGCAACCAGCCAACCCACCAACAAACCAACCAATCAACATCAGCCAACCAATTAACCAACCAACCAACCAACCAACCAACAACCAACCAACCAACCAACCAATCAACCAACCAACCAACCAACCAACCAACCAATCAACCAACCATCCAACCAACCAACCAACCAACCAACCAACCAACCAACCAACTAACCCACCAACCAACCAATCAGGCAACAGCAGTTTCTTATACCTTACTATCCATGATGGTATGGAGAGTGGGCCACATTTGTTGTTTGTATTTTGTTCATCGTTGTTTGTATCGTCTTGACGCTTGATGTAGTAGATTTCCAGTTCAATGGTTAAAATCTGATGGAAAAAGAATCAGTACTCTTAGTAAAAATCAGCATGTTTGGCAAGTACAGCATAGGTACCGTTCAGTGATAGCGGCATAACATCTTCACTTATTGATTTGCGGAAACCGGCTGTTATCTTGTTTATATACAAGATACCTGTCGATGAATCTACTTCGCAGTTCTAATGATCGCGACATACGTCTGTATTTATTTTCCATAAACTGTACATGTACGTGCACATCAAGTACAAGTCATACTTTTCTATATTTGAGCAGCGTAAAACGTTGGCTGAAGACAAGTCGTGGCTTTTACTGTGTATGAAGTCTATATTTCAATTAATATATCTTCAATTATATTCTGTTTCAGTTTCGCTTCTTGCCTACTACAGCGTCCTTGCGCATATTCATRAGYGCTGAATAGWGACTTTCAGRGCTTRTTATTATGCAGTTWTTACAAGTCAGTCTTACCAGGCCTAAAGAAACGACAACTCCAACTTTGATAATATCCAATATGCTCAATGAATCTTTCTTTACGGGATACTTTATCGAATCATCGTCACAGAAGAATCCTCGCTTGAACGGCTGGAGCCCATCAACTTTATGGAGAAATAAATGAGTTGCCACGACTGCGATGATCACAGATATCAAAAAGAAAAGTATCTCGAGGAATACACAAAGAATTGTASTTTTATAAGCCATTTTTACGGGTTATAGCAAGTCATCATTAAATCTTCAGGTTTGTATCTACATAATACCGTATAGCAGTATACCTCACGCTTCAATCGAAATGCTGTGGTACAATGAATACATTAAGTGGACTGAATCATGACGACACTTGATCAGTAATTTGTGCAAACTTATCTTTATCTTTTCATTATTGCACGTTTAAATATGCAGTTGAACTACACCTTACGGTCAGCAGCACGCAATGGCATTGCCACCATGTTGGAAGAAGATGCAACATTGTCCGTGTTTTTATATGTTTACCTGCGAGGGTTTTTTGGTAATTTTATTGCTGCAACACTGAAAGTAATGTGATGGTGATGGTAACTACAGTTACCACAGTACCTTGATGCTTCAGTGCTTTTTAATTAAACCCTTATAAATTTTAAGAAGTTTTAGAGAGAATGATTTGAGTTCCCAAACGCAAATGAAAGAACCTTGTTGTCCTAATTAAGTCTTACCACTAAAGAAATCACCACTCCAGCTTTGATAATATTAAAAGTGCTCACTGATCCATTGACGATGAATCGCCGCAGGTAGATTCCTCCCTTACGCCCCTTGACACGRATTTTTCTCAGCCCCACAGACATGATTWCAGTTTAATTCTTCAATTTGTACATTCAAAAGTTTTCATAAAAAATATTTGACTTAGTCAGAGTTTGACAATGTAACTACTACATGCCTGTGTGCTCATGATGCATGCTGTGCTTTGCACTTTTCAASATCAAATCATCTGATACATAGGTAGTTTTTCTATATTTATTTATAAACTCAAACTCCCGTCCGATAACTTCAGTGTAGTGTCAGGGAGCTTTAGAGCGGATTTCGTATGAGTGGGACACCGTTACCGCACGGTTACCGCACAGTTACCGGACTTGGCCTGCACAACTTTTGTGACGCCAATGGGGCACTAGAAATTGGTTACAGTACGATTACGGTCACCGTACAGTACCGTCCGTTTCCCACTCATACGAAATCCGCTCTGGTTATATCATGATGCTAAAAGTATTTTCAGTTGCATCTCTACACATCCACGTACTAACTCAACCCCTTGGAGATTGAGTGCCTCCCAGASGCTATTTATGCCAATGTCTGACAATGTCGCCAACGTAAAAAAATGAAATCATATTTCCCTTTTTAATTATTCTTTAATCTTGGCTGGTTCCTGCTGGAACTCATCCACTTGACTGTCAGGTTGAAGTAGTCGATAGTCTTTAGGGTCTTGTCTCTCTTTTTTGTCGAAAATACGAATAATATAAACAGTCTGAAAGTAGAAAGAAATATAGAATCATATCGTAGATTTAACAAGTATTACCTATACGACAGCCATCTTGAATTACATAAGTTTCTTTTTAAATTAGTGCAAAACTTTGGGATATGCATGGGTACAAAACCTGACATTTATGACTTTGAGATTAAGCTTTTATAGGTCTCAGAGACTGTTTCATTGAAACGTTTTGATTTATACTGTATTTCAATTGCAACATTCTACATGAATATTCCATATATAGTTTCTTCATAATTAAAAGATGGCGGGCAGTTTTGCATRCAATGTTTCACTCACCACAAGCCATGCAGCGAATGCACCAATCAAAGCCGCGCCAATGACGTCCAGCCAGTGATGGCGATAATCGCGTAAACGAGACAAACCAACCGCAAACCCAAGTAGAATGAGGAAGGTTTGTAGAACCATGCGAAACAGTTTGTATATTCGCAAACAAAAACTGGCTTGTAAGTAAATCTGAAAGACGACGTAAAGAAATATAATAAAATAAAACATGGTGTCATGAATCGCAACTGAGGTTGCAAATTGTCGACAAAAAGCGTTGCAAGCTAGGCTCAGATGACAGAASAGACAACCCATTAGTCCAGTCGCTGTCCACTTCCCTTTTGCTCCTCTGTTTGCTTTGTCGCCGAAGAGAAGGATCCTTAGTCTTCGACGACAAAATGTAAAGCGGAGCGAAGTATAGGGGCCGGTGACTGGTGACATCGCATGCAGGACATTTCCAGTGCCTTCTTGTGGCGATACGTGCCGATACTTACTGATATGAAAACCATTGYATAAGTTGAAATCGCTGTGTGTCCAGATGGAAAAGAGAATCTAAAACACAAGGAAAACAGTAACTTAAAGTTAAATTTTTATATCAGCTTTCACACACCAATAATTAGGGACTTTTACGCAATATTTATCAGTAGAGGGGACGGGGGGTAAGAAATGAGCCAGAAAAATAACAACAAATATTGCGCAATCTCTTAGTTATGGCRCTTGTTTGCTCTGTACCTTGCAATTTTGACTTGAAGTGGATCCCCTGTGCATACATCAGCGGTGATATAACCATCACTACAGTTATACAGCGTGTTATTAGGTTTACACACAGCAAGGAAATGGGGTCTTAGTCGTCCACTRAGGATTGCTATGCAATTACATAGTAACATCACCATCATCATCCCAACACCAAAGATAGCCATACGATGGATCATCCTATGAAAGGSCCAATAGATTTTAAGAAAACTTCGATTGAATCATTATAGATATGCAATATTTCATCTGCGAAAATAATAATAATAAAAAACAACAACAGCAACAAAAACCAAAAAATACTCCTTTTTTTGTGCACAATATCATAATTTCTAGTCAGTATTCGTCTATTTTTGTCGATAAAAACTGTCTCCAATCCGCTCCTTCCTCAAGAAATCAACGTATTAACTGAAACTGTGTTTGTAAACTAGTGTAAAAGCGGACTGTATAACTAAGTATGCAAAAAAAGAAAGGAATGACAAACATTTTCCTGTTTCTGCAGTTGACTGAGTAGACCTGGAGACTGACTAGTTTACCTTATAAAGTAGACAGGAATATGAACAGAACCAACATATTTGCCATCTTTAGAATCTGTATCTTTGGTTTCTTTTGATTCCGATAGATGATTTCCTATTTCAAGGATAGTGATCTGAAAATGAAGCCAATCAAAGTTTGTTTCTGTTTTCACAGTTGTTCGCCAGCGACGGACATGGGTTTAATATACTTATGGATTTCATTCTCTGCACCACGTTTTGCGATTTAAGAAAAAAATGTATTTGTATTGGGTTGTAACTATACTTATAGATTTAGGCCAGACGAATCTTCTTTTTTATAAAAATTAAGCTATATCTTTAAACTACGCGGCAGACTATGGTATGGTTCACTAGTTAGTTCTATTGTATGCGTGTGGATCGAAATTAATCCTTCATTCTTTTACCTATTGGAGAAAAATACTAAATTATAAAGCTAAACTACATGATAAAATGATAAAATGGTTTCAGATAAGCACCAAAAAGTTAGGGAAATGCACTCGATACAAGAGGAGCAAACGAATAAAATCGTGCGGTGGCGAAAAAATAATTTGAGTATATCTAAACTCTTCGTTAAACAATTTTGATGATCTTTAGTAATATTTGTTATAATAAGAACAAAATTAAAGTCAGTAAGTAAGGTTTTTGGTCATCTTTATATAATGACATCMAATTTTAAGGCATTGAATATAATCTCAAAGTGTGGAGTATAATAAGCTAGGTTAAGACGAACTATTTTTCAGAGCTACGAAATGTACTCACCGCAGCTATAGAGAGTAAAATCCCAGAGGTAAGTGTTCCCGAAAAGGAAAGATCTTCGGCCATGTAAGGTTTCATGATCGTCTCGTCATTACAGAAGAAACCYCTTTTCAATGGCTGAATGCCTCTGCGACGAAGGTACATCATTTCATAGATTACTGCATTTAGAATGATAGTACCAAAGAAGCAAAAAACTTCAATGGAGATACAAATGTAATTTCCAACGTATGTCATATTTTCTTCCCGCTACTAAGCGGCTAAAATGATAACCTTACATATCACTTTGAACTGAGCAGCCACTGGAATTATATATGTATTCAAATATGAAACAATGCGCATAATACAGTCAAGGTAAAATGATTTTAAAGAGCTAATTTGAATTGCTAARGAGTTATATTGCGCAGTTCAGTGCCCTCAGTAGATATGACTTTTGTCAGATRGTGATGAACAACCTTAAATCGTTCTCTATGACTTTGGTTGCCCGGATACGTGTAATTTACCGTTTCTGCATTTTTTTTTTTTTTCGTTTTTGGGTACAGCCCGTACCCTCTTTACATGACCTGACTAACTTAGTTGTTGTGTAGCCATTTTGAGGTGAATTGCATGAAAAAAGAATGATTCAAAGTGGAGTGCCGTTTAGGTAATTCTTGTTACAATGTACTTTGGATTGGTAACCAAGGTTACTAGAATATTTAACGCCGGTTTTCGGTGGCGATTGTGGCGATTGTTTTAATGCAATCAGTAAAGCAATCACAGTCACAAGGTGAATTCTTCGTACGTCAAACTTAGTAGTGTAAATAAAAAATTACTGCATCATTTTTACAATATATTTTATTGTATTAACTCTTTGTTACAAATGAACCTAAATATCTATAAATACCATAGCTGGTTGGTTTGGTGAATTTAGTTCGGGTATTCACGAGTTGCTCGATATTGGAGGGTTGCGCTATTAGGCCATATTTGGGCTTCCAGGTGATCGGAGTTCGGTCGATCGCGAGGAGGTCGGTTTAGCGTCCAACTCACTCTCCATCCCTGACTGTCTACTCGCAAATCGGTCACCCGTATTGCTGGAAAATAGAGCTAGCGGCTTGAACACCTATGGAAACCAAAYATCAGTTTATAAATKAGAAAAACGTTGGGCTGCCTKTGTTGCATTCCACAGGAAGCCCAAATCGAAGAAGAATCTCACCACAAATGCTGCAACAAGTGTTCCTATCGCCATGCCAGTTAGAACATCACCCCAATGATGCCAATAGTCAAATATTCTTGATAAAGCACAAAGGACTCCAAGTATAATAACTGTTATTTGAAGAAGAGGCTTGAAGAGTGTTGTCTTCTTTGTAGGAATGGCATTTTCCAGGTACATCTATAAAGTGTCAATGAAATACCGTTGAAGTGAGTCAAAGCGTCAATATTTGAAAACGTTTTCGAATATGTTACATGTAATATGAATTCTCTAGAGTAGCTCAAAAAGTATTAAGAAAATCATAAACACTAAGACAGAATTGCTAGTTTTTTTTGAGTATTTAAACACTGAAGTTTGGTTGTCTAATAAGCTTAATTGTAATGTGGCATGCAGAATTATATTTATGACTGACATCCAGATGAAAACTTCACTTGTTCTACACAACTTTTCAAGCTAAAGTGACAATAACTGTCACAGCTATTTCCAGCTGTCACTATGTTGCATAGTAAAAACCTCTCTTGCTTTCAAATTTACATTTTTTCTCTTTGTGACACCACAAACAGCTGTGCAGYRTATTYTTTKKGGGGAATTATAATAATTTGTCAACTCACAGCYACAAACATTGTAGTATACATAGAGAATGATGAGTGACCAGATGGGAAGGAAAGTCTGAAAGAGATATGAATTTGTCATAAATAATTATACATTTAACAAATAATTGTTTGTGCTTAATAAGTTTTGTTAAACAAGTTGTTGTCCTAACTTGTTTAACAAAATTTAACAAATAAACCAATAAATGAATGAATGAAAAGAAGAACAATTTCTTGCAATTCCTTGAAGAACGTTTTAGGGAAGGCGCCCTATGGCTGTGGTCACAGAGAGTCCAAGCAATGACTTTGAAACCTATAATAGTTAAAAATAAAATTTTACTAAAAAATAGTCTACTTTTATTTTATTCAGTGTTGCAATGCATTATAAATGGGTTTCTCCTCCCTTGCCACTATAATATATAGGGAGGGGAATTTTTTTTAAACCCATTTATAATGCATTGTGACACAGAATAAAATAAAAGTAGACTTTTTTTAGGAAAAATTTTATAGGTTCAAAGTCATTGCTTGGGCTCCCTGTGCTGTGGTATGGTCATTGGGGAATATAATGATGATGATGAATGCATTTATTAATGAATAAATAGTTGGACAAAAGGATAGATGACTGAATAATTGAATGAGATGTTGAATTAATGACATGGTTGTTTATCAATTATTTAATAAAGGCTTAATATACTTTCAATAAACAAGTATTTATTATAAAATTGTCATGGCATCTTACCTGGCTTCTTTGATCTGTGTCTTATCTCCAGTGCAGACATCATCAGTGACAAACACCCCAGTACTACAATTAATGTTGCTTAAATTGGGCTTGCATACTGCTAGGAAGTATGGACGCAGCCGACCAATTAACAGCTTGCCGACATCAGTGAAAAGGTTGGTTACTACCATACCAAAACCAAACATGAAGATTATGAAAAYAATCCTGTGATGAAAGTTGTGGAAAGGTTAAAGTTGTGTCGTAAGTTTTTAATAATTTTGTTGTTTTTATTTGTTGATGTTAGAGCGGATTTCATATGAGTGGGACACCGTTACCGCATGGTTACCGCACAGTTACTGCACCTGGCCTGCACAATTTTGGTGAACCAATGGGGCACTAGAATTTTGTTACAGTACGATTACGGTCACAGTACAGTACCGTCCGTTTCCCACTCATACGAAATTCGCTCTAGCATGCAATGATGTAGTAATTTTACAAAAAATGGCAAAAGTGGTTGCCAAGAGAAGCCCTTCCAAATCCCGTTTGGGCCTCTCCACTTTACCCGAGTCATTCAAGACATTCAATCTATCAATCAGTCAGTCAATTAACTGCTACATTCATGACATTTATATCTTGATTGATAAAGTTGATGATAAGATTTGCCAAAGATTATCTAGGTAATATAATTCGTAGTGGATATGATTTTTTATCTTGTTTTTTACCTTCTTTGCCATGGTCTAAGGACTATTGGGCCACAAGTGATGTARTAATCATCTCTACCGGCACCTTTCGGCTTGAATTTAAATACAAAATGTCGAAGAGTCTCACAAACGACAATCTAAAAACACAGGAAATGGGTTTTCATAGAGAAACGTCTAGAAATGGGAAATGAAGTGTTGGATAACATGATGGTCACGTGAAGGTCAGAAAATGGCGGAAACTAAATACTCAGTGTAGCTTATATAAACGTTTGGATTTCAGCACTCACCGTTACGATTCCTAAAGCTAAACCAGAGAACAATGCAGCMAGAGTTGATATAGTTTCTTTTCTGTAAGGGTAGTTCAAACTTTCGTCATTGCAGTGAAATCCACGCATTGAAGGCTGTAGATTCGTGACGTGCAATAAAAGGTTGGCGAGTCCCACMACTGCAAAGCATATCACGTCAGCTAAGCAGTACATTTTGCCAATATTTCGCTGTGACGACATCTTGTCTATTTAACAATTTAACTCCATACGAAGCGGGGGATGATTTTGATCTTGTCGACCGAAATAGAAACTTAACTGCTGCTTTAGGATTTCGGGGCGGTCACACTAGAAATCGAAAGCGTTTTGTTTCGCTTGAACGTGTGAATATATTAACTTAATTGAAATTCACGTTGACTATTAAAAGTCACACAACAACTRCGTGTTGKTTTAACTCAGAATTCATTAACTCATAAGACAAAACTTTAAAACAAACAGTCCATTTCTCTTTTTTTTTCTCACGCAAACGAAGCCTGCACCGCGAGGAATTGTGGATTATATCTAAGTTCGTATTTTTTCGCAAAAACAATATTCAAATTGGATTTTGTGGTTAGGATTAGCATATTTTATCTTTTCAAAACTGTTAACAAGCTTCTAATGACCCCTAAAATGGCGTTCGATAACAATTAATTGTTGTGATAACACATGATAATGGAAGTATATATATTTTTTCTGTAAATTTATTTAAAAATACAACAATAAAATAACCATTAAACAAAGATTATCTTATTTAATGACATGCCATCTAACACATCATAAAATCGTTAAAATTACTAATTAACGTAGAAATATAACACTTAAGATATAATGTTTTTGAAGTTGAACAATAATTTAATATATTTATTTCCTTTACAGCAATATTGACACCTTATATATAAACATTACATATTTGTACAAATATATGCAAGAGACCCTGCTCTTCTGATAGAATATATGTTTCAAAATTTAAAAAAAGATGAAAAGTCTAACTATAAACTACAAATTGAAAATGATGTCCTGAAAAATTTATCTTCTAAAAAAACTACTTAAATACTAAACTAATAAAAATGTACTAAATAAATTAATGTTTTTAATAGAAATGTTTTTTGATTGTTTCTTGAATTCTTTCTTCATTCATTCATTGTTTTTCAGTATTTTAATATCATGCTTGAATTTTTCTTTTTTCTTCTCTACTGCAAACTCTAGTAATGGTCCAACTTTGATGCTTTTCCTTTGAATGATTCTTCATAAAAACATCCATGATCCATTGTTGAAAAGTCCCYGAACCCAATGTCACCAGATGACTTCCACCAAACATTAAATTCATTTCTGTGATAGCWACAACCCCCTTGTCATATAAAACCGAGTTCTTTTTACCATGAGGTGTAAAGAAAAGAGCCTTAAGTTGATCRAGTAGGTCTTGCTGAATGACTGACAGCTTCGTCCTGAGTCTAGTGTCCGTCTGTGCGGAGGGAAGAGCAAAGGTGTCTGACCCATAGACACTAAGATCAGTAGAGACAAACACGTGTTGAATTTTATGCCGTTTTTGCAGCTTTTTAACCAAATCAACTAAGACAGACAGACATCTCTTAAGTTTGTCAGCCCCATACCAATGAAGCTGTCTTTCAGAGCGCACATGTACAGCAATGTACTGGTGGTTGTCTAAGAATGACACCTCCTTGAATCTAGACACCTCATTTTTTATTAAATCGCTATGTGCAAGTGACGTAACAATCTCCCASGGYTTCRCGGTGACTTTAGGTCTAAAGTGAGTACGATTTTTTCCTATTCCTCGCCAATGTACAATAACCACACATCTATCATTTTGAAGGACAGTGTTTTCTAGCACACTAATRTCGCGGATTATTTCTGGATCTATACACAGTTGACGTCCGGCTTTTATTTTCCCAATTCTATTTGAAATATCCAGTCCGCTATCAATGAAATTACATTCACAGTAGCCTTGTGGGTGTACAGCACTMATGATYTGTTCATACTGTTCACTTTTAATGTTGTACCACTTACGTAAACTATCCTCAGCGTCAGGACCTGTGTATATAAAATGTATTAAAGTCGTGTCTTCATTTGCGCAAACGTCTTGAAAGACAGWTAACTTTGTYAATGTCGCGTAGTTTGATTTTGTCATTAATTGATTGAAGTGTTGTACATCGTAGTAGACATCAAATGGACGGAATGAACGACTTCTTTTTCTAAGCTCCCCATACCATCCTCCTGGGACGCCGCACATTCTCGAGTCTCGGACGTATGGTTGCACGACGGTTCGTCCCATCTCCTTGGCAATCGCGCACAGTTGGACTAAATTCTCAGTAGCTTTTCCCAGCTGTTCGTAATGATGAAGAACGAAGAGGAATTTTGAAGAAAGCTTGATTTCAGGCGAGGGCTGAGTGACATCAAACGGGTCCAAATCTGTATCGTTTGTGCGTCGAATTTGCGGCTTGATTTCAAACACGCGATGAGCGATCTCAGATGTTTTGGAAACAAAATCTTGATCGTCAAATACACGTCTTCGTTCGTTCAAGAGTTCTCGTTTTATGAGTTCGATACGTGATAAAGGTTCTTTGTAACTCAGCTGACTTCGCTCGACTGGTAGACTCGAGATTTTCGGATCGTATAGTATCAACAGAACTAGACAAATACTGACSACCAGACATACTTGTGCCCCACAACCAAGAGCTAACTTGAGTACGCGAAGCAGCTTTCTCGGTACAAACATATAGAAGTAACTGAGCAGGCAGCTATTAATTTACGAGCATGATAAAACCTGYAAATTGTCAGCTGGAGAAAGCTGACATCGAAATGAAATCAGTGACGATCAAACGTTCGATTGCTGACCAAGCATGTGGAAAAATAAATTCCATGAAGCGACGATTTGTCACGTTTTGTTTTGGTTACACTTTAGCATACAGATGGCTTCTTGAAATCTACATGAGTAGAARACTTGATCGGCTTCGAGAAGGCTTGATCACAYCACATCAAATCAACTGTTCTATCAATGCATTAGTGTCGTCGAAATTCTTGCTTACTYAGATCACTTACTTTAGAATCACTTTCGACCAATATAATACAAATTAACAATCCAGAATGACCTTATAACTTTAATCAGCCAATCAGATCGCRGGTCGATGAGGGCAGGACTTCCAACTAGGGGTAGGGAGGGGAAGACGTCATGAGAAAAATTGATGCAGATGAAGRAACAAATAATTTGTGGCATGCGGTGGGGCCGTCTGTACATCCTGTTTTGCTCAGGTAGCAATTTAGGCATGAATAATTGAATAAAATCCGGCACCGCTATGGTCAAACAATCACTTTTGKGATCAATTTGAAATCCGTATCGGTTTTAACGCGGGTTTAGTGGGCTGAATAGATCTCCCTGATCTGCTGTGGATGTGGTTTCACAGACAAAATTGGCATTTTTTGGAATTCCATGTCTTTGTCTTTTGTCTTTTAATCCTATTTCCTGTGCCCAAAACAAAGTGTAAATTATTTCTTTTAAAAACTGGGTGAGGAAATTAACCCATAACTTGGTGTAAAAATTCTTTTTTTGTGCCCACAAACAGAAAATTGCATTCACACTTTATATGATAATGTATAAATGCCCACCTTAAATAGTTCCCTTTACTGCAAAATGTAATTCAATTTTGTGAGTAATTTCACGTTGGAATTTTATTTTGTCTTTTTCAATATCTATTTGGACTTTGATTTCACTTAGCGTCTGTTTATTATTTTTACTGCTCAGTGAATTTAATTATTTGCGCTGCGTCACAAAACGATTTTATTGAATTTTAAAAGATTTGTTTTTGAAACAAAAATTCATTCATTTATTTCTTCCTTTTTAGTTTTCTTTCGAAATGTATTTCAATTTCTACAACACTTTTACTTTAACGGCTTGTTGGGGTCTTGCTATTGACGGACTGCAGAACATTTTGGGACTGTTCGGTGATGACTTTCTCGTTTTGAGGTAGTTAGACAGGTAGCCAATCACCGAAAGTGYCAGCGAAAAGACCTATCAAAGCGCTGGCCAAGTGATTGGCAACACACGATATTCTATAATAGTATCAAAGACTATTATTAGCAGAAACATATCTATGTTGCGTGGGAATTCTACATTAACCCTTCTGGACTCTAAATGAGCCCCAGTGGCTAATATCATGTAATATTAGTGATATCCCATTGCAAAGGAGAGCAGGAATGGACAGCGCGCATACCGGCGAAAAAATGAGGGTATTTTCGAGGCTACGGAAAGCCATACACATCATGAAGGCTTTCAATAGTAAATGACATTTCAGTGTTGGATGCTGATGCTAGGACACAGCTTCAGTGAAAGTGTTTTATTAGTTTCACTGGGTGAATTTGACAATGTCGATCGGTGACAATTTTTGTCGATCGGTGACGATTTTTGTCGATCGGTTGCTGATGCTGATGCTAGGACACAGCTTTCAGTGAAAGTGTTTTATTAGTTTCACTGGGTGAATTTGACAATGTCGATCGGTGACGATTTTTGTCGATCGGTGACGATTTTTGTCGATCGGTTGCTGATGCTGATGCTAGGACACAGCTTCAGTGAAAGTGTTTTATTACTTTCACTGGGTGAATTTGACATGTCGATCGGTGACGATTTTTGTCGATCGGTGACGATTTTTGTCGATCGGTGTCGGTTTTTGTCGGTCGTTGTCGATGACCACAACTTTGTATTTAAATCACTTTGAAACAATTCCGTGACAACGAATATACTAACCAGAAAAACAAGAAAAACTAGAAAAACAAGAAATGAAGAATGCATGGAATAGAAATAAAGTGGAAGCAAGAAACAAGGCCTAAAGAAAATTCTGGTGTTCACGATTAATAAGTGTAACTTTATCGAGCGTTTTTCCGATGTATCAATTTTATTTGTCATAACTTGTACTATTCGAGTTTCTTCTTAACCACATGGTTTCCTGCAAAGTATTTCTGGTATTCACTCGAAAACATGAAGAGCTATATATGTCCATTATGGAGTTAAAGTGGTCGAAACCTTCTGGAAGGGACGCAGGCTAACTCTAGCATGCATCTCATAGAAGAGAAATGTCCTGAACGGCCAAACTAAAGCTTTTTTCGTTTTTTCTTGGATAGGAGTAACTGAGGAATCTTCTGTTTCACAGGGATAATCTCAAAGTCCAATGAAATACTTAATTGCGGTTTTATTGTTAACATTGTTATATTGGTCCAGGACGGTATTCGCAAAATGAGTTTATTATACTCAGAGTATATTGGCGATGGATTGTACGCCATGCATGATGTATAGGACATTGCAAAGTTTGAATGCGTCTTTTTGGTCGCGTCGCTCAGTTCAGTTCTTCAAATTAGATTGAAAAACKAATTTTGGGAATCTGGAAAATGCCGCGTCAAACTTAGTAAAGTCTTGAGAATTCTACGTTTTTCACAAAGTTTGGATGTGTTATGAAGTCTTGTCAGCTGAAGTGGCTCAGAAAGATCAAGATACAACACGGTCTCATTTATATGATAAATGGCGCAACGACAGGTCCTACTTAACATGCTAAATCACTTACATATACAACCACACACTAGTGCGTTTTACCTTGTTATGCTCTKTAGTTGACTCAGTTAAGTTTGATCAAGAGATCTAACAAAATGAGAAAGGTAAGAGAGKTTTKTTTTGGATTTTAAAACTCTAGTTTTGCGTTTTACAATCAAATCCTTTGTCCCTAAATATTGCGCTAAACTTTTATATTCGTAATGATTTTGTTATCAATTGTTAACGTAAAAACGATTTACGCGAAGAATTTTGWTCCAATCTGAAAAGTTTTCAATGTTTTCAGAATATAGTTATATAGTCTGCAACGGTTATTACATCAGCTATAGGGACATAGATTGACAAAGTATATATAAGTTGGTTTTATTCTTTTAGAATATTGTTTTGTTTTCATCAAAGTATCATTTGTTGACGTAAATCGATCGTAATGACGAAGATTACGAGGAAGGTGCGATTGAAAGTATAATGCTCTTCCCTTAGTATCGAGCAGTAAGAATCGTGCTATTAGACATGGAGACTGGTAAAGACACTTCCTATGTGGTTACATGTCTCAGCAAACTGAACCACTGAAAAAGGAAGTTAAAGCTCAGATATTATTTACTTGATTGCGTATGAGGAAGCGGAAAGTTTATTTAGTTCTATACATCTTATTATTTAGTATAGTTATACACTTTTGAACGCTCAATTATAATTTGCCTGAGGCGATGCTAAAAAACTCCTCCCATTTCACCCTTCTTGAAATTGAAACACGAGAAGAAGTTTCAAAATTCAGCTGAAATTAGTTTTTGACCATGTTTCCATGCAGTATTTTTAGTTCTATATCACGTCGACATTGTTTCCAAAATTAACATTGACTATTATTATTATTATGGCGATTGAAGTAGAAAACAAAATGGCGTCTTGGTCAACGACACACGGTTTTGATCTATATCACAGAATAAGACATTCCCTGAAAGAAAATTTCTCTTTGAWTTGAAGATCTCTTCCTTATAAAATGCTCTTCAGTTATTTCTACGTTGATTGTTGAAAGAAATTACTTAGTGATAACAGATAAAGTATATGACCATGGCAACTGATTTTGTTTAAACACGTGGCACTTGGAATCGATAAGTAGTGCGTGGTAGTAAGTATATAGGATATACTTCGTCGACAGGACAATAGAAGGCAAAGTCCTTGTGAACCTTACTCACCATGGAGACAAATGGTCACATTTACTTTTCTAACATTAATATCCTTAACTAAGTTGTAAGCTACAAATGTACGATCAATTTAACTCATGTCATGTAGTATATAACATCTTGTAATGGCTCATGTGTASTTAAAACCATGTATTTAAGCGTTATGTCACATAATCGATCAAAGTGGGAGGAAATTTAAATTATCTATTTATTTGTCCTAAAACCCATACTGTGTCAGCCAATGGTACATCTCATGTCACGTAAATGTATCATTTTTGTCACACAATTCTTTCACTTAAAATATGCCCTCTTGATTYCCTTGGCAGTGTGTAGTGCTATCTATTTTCCTGGTATCAATATACATTTGCCCATCACCGGCCACATCAATCAAAAACTGCTCTAATTGGGCTGAAGGTGAACTTGCCAAGACYATTCACAGAACGTGTGTCACGCAACCACCGGAAGTTCAGCTCACAACCCTAAAAAATGGAACTCTTCTAATGCTGCTAAAGGTAAAAAAGATGGTTACAATCTGGCCACCACAACCTCAAAGATCTCCTTACGGTGTTGCACCGGTGCCATTTTTCAATACCAAGACCAAGAGAACCGTTAAAAGAGAAGTCTCCCCAGTCTTCCACCTCTGYCACGAGTACACMGGAAGTGTGTATATCCTTGTTGATGATGCTGATAATCTGGTCTATCGMGTGAAGACGATAAAGTGCAGTTCCGAGGAGTGCTCTATTCTATCGAATAAAGTTAGAATAGGAGATTGCGTGACTCAAAAGAAAACAATAGAGCTACTGGTATCTAATGGTTGYCATGGCCTTAAGCCAARAACGATCGAAGTTGGATGCAACTGTGAGTGTATGAAAAGTTATAAATTCTTATGAATTAAAAAACTGGTTAAACGGATTAATGAACTGGTCAAACAGGATAAACCAGTCCAACGGGATAAACCGGTCAAACGGGTTWAAACCGGTCAAATGGGATAAACYGGTCAAACAGGATAAAACAGTCTAAGTAACGAGATACAGGTTAAAAATGAACTATGAAAAATGTTCACTGCACATAAAAGAGCGAGTAGAATTATACGAGCATGTACAGTAAGGAATATATTTACGTAATCCTTTCCCTTTTCATTCAATCATAACCGTGTACACGTGTAAAGCACTAACGTTTATTTATCTACAAATAGAAGTAAATTCAAAACCATATTTTTGTATATATTATTACTCAATTGTTATGATTGTCAGTCATCAGTATCAGAATGAAAAATAAAGATTAAAATAATCTAAAATTATTTGAGTTTCAATTGAAACAGTCTTCGATCATATCTATATTCTGATATGATAATTATTCTCTTGTGACAACGAAAAAGCACATTGGAAAGCTCATTGGAAACTACATCAGTATTTCTGTACAGCTGCTAGTTTAATAGCACGTAGTGTAAACCTCATATCTTGAGGCCTGCAAAGAATCATGGATTTCTTTCGCGTCGATTCCATGATGCCTTGCGGGCTTAGCTGTAAAGCAAACCTTGATATATATCAACAAAGGAATTGTGACTTCGGTATCTTAATTCGATTAAAGACCTCTCTCTTACAGACTGCTGTAATTGAAGAAGTCATGTGATCCAGGCATCTAATGTATTTCCCATGAGCCCTTTCGGTTTAAGATCTCACCAAAAAATTCTTATCATTGTTTCATCGAAAAAATCGATTTTTAAATAGTGCGCTTTGCTAAAGTCTTCCCCGTTTTTCAATGTATCCGGCTGAGACTAGCATTGTAATTATTAAGTTAAAACATCTATAAATATTCGTCACCCGCAAAATATTTGGATTAAAATAAGGCTGGTTAACAGCTAGTGAAACCCTCCCCACTCGGGGGGTGAAAAAAAATATTAGTATAAGGTGATTCACAGTTTGAAAAGGTACTTCACTGTGCACGCTTCAGACTGTCATATCAATTGCTAATTGTAACTGTCATTAAACCATTTCCCCTTAGACCTTGCTCATAGTATTGCTGTTTCAAGCCGTTTTTGTATTATTCTCCGATATATATTATATTCTCTAATACGAAAACGCTTTGAAAAAGCGTCCGTGTGAACGATAGCCTGGGTACCGCTGGGTGCGATATACCGCTTTCAACAGCACTTGGCGCAATGCACAAACTATGAGAAAGTATAAATTTCAACCTCTGGTACCCAGGGTATGTGAACASAGCTTGTACGTGAAATCTGCACATTAATTTCTTATTTCATTTCATAGTTCATTTCTCATTTCCATTCAGGAAATCCACGATAAAATCGTTCAAGTCGTCGTGATCAAATTTCGTTTTGAGGTTTTCCTTTGTTTTCTGGATTTTTTCGTCGTTCCAATTAAAAGCTTTKGAGACTTCGGGTAAGGCTATAGCTCCAGCCCATTCAGGATCAACATTTGGATGAGATTGAATCCCTATAATATCATCATTAAACTGGATTATCTCATATTGACATGAKGCTGAKGTAGCTATTGGGATGGCTTCCTCTGGTAGCTCGGTGACGCATTCTCCATGTAATTGAGCAATTCGAAGAGAGCCATTATTAAACAAATCTGCAGTGGATTTATTTTCAGCTGCCTCGTTTGTTGGCATAAGCTCTTCAATTTGGAGCACGAAGTTATTATCTGGATTGGCGCCAACCTTTCCTCCTAGAGCCTTGGCGATGAGCTGGTGGCCGAAACACAGGCCAACTATTTTTGGCCGATTTCTTTCCAGTGCTGCAGTAGTTCGGATAAAATCCTCTAGGCTTCGAATCCATTCTTCGTTATCGTTMACAGATTTACTACTGCCAGTGATTAAGAATCCGTCGAATTKTGGATTRTCTTCTAACCTCGGCACTTGCCCTCTGCACGCGTGAAAGCCAACCCACTCGTCTTCATCATTTGTTTTGTAATAGTCAATGTGTCTTTTTATGGCTCCTTCGCTGCGTCCCCATTGTTCGAGGTCATTGCAAGCTAAAACGCCAAATCTCTTCATCGTCTTAATGTCCTTAGTTCTATCTCAGACTACTGGCAGCCTTTGAACAAATGGTCGTGATTAGCATAAACATTGTCATATAAATAAAATAGGCGGAGTTACCCTATAAAGCTTTTCTCCTGATTGGTAAATTGAAAAGAAAATGTCATAAAATAATATTATTATTACTTTGAGCTCGACTTTAGACTTATAAATTATTGATCTCTTGGCAGCTAGATGACATATTAAGGACATACCAACGATGACCATATCGTAGTCTTTATATAACGTTCAAGGTCTATCGCTATACGTCATCATCATACGACAAGCACCTGATATCCAACAGTCATAGTATACAGGCTCAGAAAACATATTGCTATACTTAGTAAATCAAGTCTACAGCAATACGAAGAAATTATGATTGTTTTTGACACATAGTTGAACTATAAATAAAATATATTRGAAATTATTGAATATCATCGCCGAYATCTTTTTGAAATTGCCTAGCGCTAGTACTTTCTAATAAAATATTGGCGATGATAATCCATAGTTTGTGATATATTTTTTTTAGATTTGAAATATCAGTCCGATAAARGATCATAATTTCTACATATTGCTGTATTGAGATTACCGGGAAAAATAWATGATTATTTAACTAAAATAAAAATAGTATTTCTTGCCTAATTATGTCACCATCATTAAATTATTATATATTCACACTTCAAGTCATTCGCATAAAAAGGATATAATATCAATTTTGTCAAATGACTATCTATGTAATACCTAATATTTTTCCATTTCGCTATACACTCACTCATTTGACTCATGAGAGAGCTTTTCCTCAACACTCGAAGATAAAATCCGTATCTCCGCGCGACGATGTAATATCCTCTATTTACGTTCTTAAATAATAACATATTAATAGGCGATCCTGATTTTTTTTAAGACTAATTCTATGTTTTTATGGTACTAAGATCTCATTTTTTTAAGATTGCGTTCAGGTTCTACTTTAGTTTCTTCTTCGAGGAAACAGGYTGATCAGAATAAGCCTTTTGAATCCATTCTGGATAACAAAATACCTGGCATGTTCAATACAAAAAAAGTCAAGCTTGACGGGCTACGTTCCTTTTGTTTTTGAGGTTGTTTACATTGTTTTGCGATCCAGTATGGCGGATTTAGTACCATGTGACCGTTTCATGCAAAAGGGCTATAAAGTGTCTCGCAGCTGTTCCACAGTTATCCGGGAACTTATCTAAGAACTGTTCTTACGTATATCACTGCGAAGATCTGTGCATTGTTATTGAAAAAGCCCAACTCTTTTCTGGCACAGTGTACCACGATGGAACATATGTAAATATATTCATTTCTTTAGAATTTGACTAAAGAACAGGTCAATTAACAAATAAAATGCTTAAAGAACATGCAGCTGCCAGGCCTAAATACTATAATTTGTAAGGAATACAATTATATTTACAAATCGATTTTGACCTTTACAACTGAGCTTATTTAGTACACGTGTAAACATGATGATACACCGCAAATTTTCGACATTTGAACTTCATAAAAGAATGGTTGAGTGAAACCGTACACCTATATCAAGTAGTCTTGTAGTTGTAAGAGGCTCTGGACGTTTGGTGGATATCCAGGCCTTATTCCAGGCGGAATAGGTTCAAATCTGGACTCTTGTTTACCTGGGATTGTTTTACTGCTGAACAAGATTAATTTGCTGATATGAGCACCCTTACTAATCTTCGATTCACCTAAACAGGCCCAGACCGACTATCAATGGTATTGTAATAGATGTAACTCGAAGCTACATTGGAGCTGTACACAAACATAAATAAATACCTGGTTATTTGTCCAGGAAAGCTGGAATTAGAGGTACCGTTGGGACTTGATCAATTTAGAGGCTTTGTAACCAAGCTATTTGTATACAAAGACTGATAATCTATGATAATTTATGATAGCTTTCGCTACGTAGCACTGTCAGTATCACTTATCAGCTAAAGTCACGCCATATTATACGTAGCCCTGCATGTGGTAGCCGTAAACGTTCTTCTTGTTGCCCTTGCCCTTGTTGTTGTTGTTGTTGTTGTTGTTGTTGTTGTTGTTGTTGTTGTTCTTCTTCTTCTTCTTCTTCTTCTTCTTCTTCTTCTTCCTTCTTCTAGTTCTTCTTCTAGTTCTTCTAGTTCTTCTTCTAGTTCTTCTTCTAGTTCTTCTTCTAGTTCTTCTTCTAGTTCTTTTTCTTCTTCATCTTCTTCTCTTCTTCATCTAGTTGTTGTTGTTGTTGTTGTTGTTGTTGTTGTTCTTCTTCTTCTTCTTCTTCTTCTTCTCCTTCTCTTTCTTCTTCTTCTCCTAGTTCTTTTAGTTCATCTTCTTCTTCTTCAGTTAACAGTATCTTTTATCTCACAACTTTCTCCTCCAAGGACTTGGAGATTAAATGCAAATTATTTCAGTTTCAATGGCGAGAACGTCGCATTGAATGATATTATTGTACCTCCTGGGCAGCTACTTTCACTCCGTTTAACCGGCTGCCAAGGAGAAGTCATTACTGTAATAAGGGTACAATTAACTCTCCATCAGATCACTTACCTGATGTACTCATGAAGATCTGAGTGTGCTCTTACTGTTTGTACTAAATACGGAGGCGTTTTTTAATAACAACTAAATCATTTTAAAATCTTTAAAGACGTCAACAAACAGAAATATAAAACAGACTCTCAAATGTTTGTAAAATCTTAGTATTTACATTAGGTGCATCGTTTTCTTTACATATTTGGTCATCATCAATCTTTGTGTCAAGTGTTTTGACTCGATATGTTGATATTGGTCTTGGCGTTATTCTAGAATAAGCGATCGTGAGAAAACAGYTCAAGCCGAAAGTGATTTAGTCAAAGTGGCGTTAAGGAGATAGTGTAGTGCTCTTTTTACGCACAGATATTAAACTAGATCAAAAACTGATACTCTGTTACAAGAGAGAAACTGAACTAAGAATTCAGAATGGTCAAAGAACTTGCAAATAAGGTAACGTTACTTTTTGAGAATTTTGCTGTGCAAGAAGGCTACTTTAGAAAGTTTGATTTTTCAGGGTTTATTGACTTCAGAGTCTASCAAACATTATTTCACATTTTCCACTGAATAACACTAACTGTAACTTTGCCTTTCTTTAAAAAACTTGAATATTATATATCCTTCTCAAATTTAGTCTTTTTCCTTAGTTTATTTGTGCTTCTAGCTACTAACAATCATTCTTTTTTGATGCGGTGGGTTATTGTTTTGTCTAGKCAGACTATGACGCTTTTATTCAAAGCCAAGGAGAAGGGATTGCTGTTATATGTTTTACAGCTAAGTGGTACGGACCTTGTAGGACATTTGCGCCAGAATTTGATGTAAGTAATGCGATATACATGTATGCACGCCATATAATACTCAGATTCTTGTGATCATGAGGAATCGATACTTCTAAGGTCGARAATGTTTAAATTTCGGAATAGGGTTCATGATCTGGAAAATTCCCTGGAAAGGTCTAGTTAAATGTAATTGAAAACAAATATCTATTAAAATAGTAGGGTATACTTGAGATTATACGGATAATTTCTATAATTAGCACTGTGACGTCACTATGGCCTGTGGAGACTACCCTTATCCTTAGTGTTCACTGTCATCTTTTTTGCATTGACTTCCACACWTGAGAGATTCGACAGGAAAAAGAAAGAAAAATATGAATTAGGAAGAATGGAACTAGGGCCTTTTGATTGCGCATGCTTTATAGTCTTATCTTATCCCACATGGATTCGCCACTTRACTTGTTCAATTGCTTTTCAGAAATTAGCGAAAGAATATGATASTGTTGGATTTGCTAGAATTGATACCGAGGGAAACGATGTAAGTATTGCGTTGATACTTCCATGACTTTCCTCAGTTTCTTAGGGTTTGTGCAAAGTGATTTCGAATAAAAGTTTTTTAATGACTATATTGGYACTCAAATGTGTGTTCTCGATTACAAGAAATCATGTGAAATCTTTCCTGCTTCATTCCTAACAATGAAATTTTCCTCTAGTACTGAAGGAAACGATGTAAGTAACCTCTACTAGAGGGAAATTTCCATTCCAATCTCTTTATCACTAATCCTTAGTCCTATTTTTATATTCAACAGAAACTCGCGCATAAAGAAGGAGTTCAACTGCTGCCTGCTTTCTGTTTTTACAAGAAGGGACAAAAAGTTAGTTTTAAAAATGTCCGTCCGTCTGTCATTTTATCCGTTTACCCAATAGGCCATCGCGGGCGTTGTTCACACAGGGAGCCCAACTCAATATTCTATTGTTCGTTTTCACTATACGTCACAGCGTTCATCTTGGAGGAACTTCAACAAAGGATTTCTCATTAGTATCTATTGCTCKTTCCTCCAACATTGCTGCCGTTCTTTTATCTTTTGAATCTCATGGGAATGCATGATGGGTAGCGATTAATACAGTATCAATTTGTCATTGTGTACAATTTCATTTTCCATATCTCTTTTYAGGTTGGTCARACAATACGAGGCAACGCGTCGGTCGTTAAGAACGCTATCGACAACATGATKCAACCTGGGTCTTAATAAAACAACCTCGTCTGCATCATACATTCTCTAGACATAAAAGCTTGTTATAATGACTTACAATTAGAACTAAAATTAAAAGTGAAAGAAATCATTATTAATTCAAAAGAATTTTATCTACCTAACACTTCTTCATTGCTCTTGACGGCACTTACGCACGTGAACTAATGCGCATGCTCTATGAAGCAGCAGAAAGCAACGTTTCAAAAAAAGATCATGTGACCTGTCTTACATTCCGGTTCGAGATTTTGTTGCCTCGGTGCGTGCTACCATTACCCATGGGAGTTGCACACAGGTACAAAAACTGCCGCGTGCTCAGGAGTCCGAGATAATTTCAAAATACTTCGCTTCTCTACTCAACGTCGGCTCGACTGATACGGAAATGTTSCAAGTACCGGACTTTCTTGCTCCCAAGCCGCTAGATGAACTTAACAGGTTAATTTGTAGACTAACTCTGCATTCAATTGCCGTGGTATTGCCAATTTGTTATCGTTTTCGGCCTTATGTACTTTGAATTACCGTGTGTAGGTATTTTGCATTTTAAAATGTCGTGAACTATTCTTAAAATTCAAGATTCAGGAAAATGCTCAAAAACTGATTTATTTCTCTAATTATTTCAATATAAGGTCAAAAATGTTTGGAAATAGAAGTAGCGTCTTTTTTGCGACTCTACGTTACAGTCACTTGAGAATACACACGAGGCGTTTCATTGACATTTTTTAAAATAAATTAAATTGTAGAACTCACACTCAAGATATAAAGGTCTTTCGTTTCTAAGACTAGTATATAATATGTTGGTTATTCTGGTACCGACATGATTGATTGACGGCTAATTTTGATTTGTGATGTGGAAACTCGAGAAAACCCTCATTATTATTCCCTTTAAAAACCTTAGAAAGCATTTTTTATATTTCATGAAAAACTGCACAATTTGATAAAAGGAACTCTATGGAAACAAGTCGTAAATGATATGATTTCCTAGTTTAAAAAGTCCCGCGGTGTCTTCTTTGAATCAAAATTGTCAGTATATATGTTGAACACACTATTGAACCTCAATTGAACCAGGACAAGATACCCTGCTTAAGCACACATTATACGTGTTGGCGGCTGTTATTTAGATACAAGAGCAGATGAAGTTCTTACTACATTACGGCCCAATGTTGAAAAGCGGAGTTCAAATTCGCAAATTTTGAATATTAACTGGAATACGCTCTAGTGAGCGCAAAGCAGGTACGTAGAATAGAATTTCGGCTAGAGAACSWRA